AATTGATTCTCACACGGATGAATCGATACATGCATCATGACCAAAATAATCGATTTTAATGGATGAATTAACAGATCATTACATCCACTGGCGGAGCCAGTGGGGGGGTGGGGTGGCACGTGTCCTCCCCAATGATCCGATAGAAATCCCTAATTTCGATTGGATCATTGGGAGTTATTAGTAATAAATCGTCATTTTGCGATCCCCACTGCCACTGTGTAGCATATTATTATGTGCCAGGGACTCTATGAGATGATAGGGCAATATTCTGACTCCATAATTGCCAATAAGTAACGGCAAAGCAGTTATAAGTGACTCACAGAATTGTGCGTAGTTGCGTATACAGTACCCGACTTCCCTGAAGGTATTCACCTTCAGCGAGCGCGGTGCCGATCACACACGGTTCGAATTCGACCATCGATTGATGGCTGCGCCATCGCCGCACACGCGTCGAATAAAAAGCAAGGGACAAATCCTTACTTACTAACAACTCCTATCATTTTTCATTGTTGGAGGGGTTGGCCCCCCTACCTGAAACTCTTGGCTCCACCATTGATTACATCTTTCTTTAACACACATCCAGTGCTTTGTCTTCCCAGTGCCACTGAGCTACCCCCAGCTGCTCCTGCCTACCCTCTCACCTTCAGTGTGGCGCCCTTGAGCATCACCTTCTGGCGATCTGGGTGCACACCCGTTAGCGCAAAGAGCTGCGCCTTAAAGACGATGGGAACCTCGTCCGTGTTCAACTCCACATCGTCGTACTTCTCCTTGCCCCACTTCACCTTTACTGCTCGTATCGCAACCAAACAACCACACATCACGTACCACGCACCACACGTACGAGCACATTACGTCGCCGCACTTCATGAACCACACAATCACACAACACTTCTCATGTAAAAATCTCAAAAACTCTGAGCTAGATTCTCTTTATATGAAACAGCTGACTCTCGCGATTTATCCCTTTGTTAGTGACAGAAACAATGGCTTGTTGGCCAAAAAAATCATTAAAACTTGCCAACAGCATATGTGAACCAAGTTCTCTCCAGTCTGATGTTATCAAGAAAGTGGCTACTACTGTCGCTACAGATTTGTTTAAATCCAAACTCAGACCAATTTTGTTACACAGACCATCCTTGGGTGCCAGCTGATGGAACATTAAGGCATGCTGCTCTCCAAGTTACAGGTTACGGTTTGGAGTTTGAGTTTAGGTTAATACCTAAACTCAGGGGTTACGGGTTCAGGTTTACGGTTGGGGTTTAGGGTTAGACATAGGGATTATGCTACTCTTTGGTTCTATTCGGTAAAGCCACGTAGGTAAATAATACCTACGTGGCTTTACCGAATAGAACCAAAGAGTGTGGATCCTTGCAGTCACGAAAGCTTTAAATCTAGAATAGGGATTATGGTTTAAGATTAGGTGCCTCAGGTGGCTCAGCGGTGGAGAGTGATTCACAATCGGAAGACGAAGACTGCGAGGTCAAATCCAAGTTGGGGATGACCCAGCTCATCATCCCCCTGGGCTCAATACAATGAGTACCACTTTTTCGTCCTATAGCTATACTCGCTCCCGCCACAGCAATGCATGATTTCCACCACTGGCTCAGTGGTGTAAACAGAAGATGAGCACCGCCTTAATGACCATTTGCCCTGGAAATCACATTGACGATGATAGTTTACGGTGTGGGACAGAAGCACATGGCCCTGCTTTATCCACGGATATGCGGGTTCAGTTCTCTGGGCCTTTCTCCACAGCCGCAGCGCGAACCCTCCCGGGCTGTGACTCGGCAAACGGCAGCGCGAGGCCGCGCGCCCACCGCTGATGGCGGTGGCGGTAGGGAACGTCTCTCACTTGGACATCTCCCGCATCAACATCTCCCCCTGAATTATCTCCCGTGTGAACATCTTCCGCACCAAATATCTCCCACTTTAGCAACCACCTCATGCATATCTCTCTCCCGGAACATTTCCAATTTCAAGCTCTCTTGCTTTGAACTTTTTCGCATCTCCCACCTAAGTATTTCTCATCCCCAATATCTCACGCATCAACATCTCCCCGTCTGCAAAGATCTCCCAAAACTCGTACCTCCCGTGTAACTCCCACATCAACCATCTCCCACCCCTAACATCTCCAACGTCCCATGTTTAATCATTCATACCGTGAGCATGTCGAGTGAACATTTCCCACATCAAATATCTCCCACAGTTAACATCCCTCGTCCACAACGTCCTTGCACAAACCTCCCCACATCAAGCTTCTCATAAAACGTCTCGAAATGAAACTCTGTCCTCTTGTTAGTTATGAGGCAGCCGCCACAAATCCAAACGTGGATCCATTAAAAATTTTACTCAGTCATTCGTAAACAAAGTGCTATTATAACTTTAATAATGCTGCTGCAAATGTAATTACAATCGACCACTGGTTTAGCTAAATATACACCTTGTTTATATTAGCACATTTAATTAAATTTCAGACAATTCACAGCAATAATTTTAATGTTAAAAACCCAACGGCCTAGTGCCGCTGACCCCGGTCTTGCCTAAAACGGTAGCCTGTCACCCAGCCCAGATCCCGGCGGGGTTTCTAGTCAAGACCGTACTCCCTATAAGACCCCGCTGCTCCGATGCTCTGGAACCACGGGGCACCCCGGGTCGTCTCTATAAATATCGTCTCGCCACTTGGGTCCCGACAGGGGTATCAGAGACCCCACAAACACCCCGGGGACCCCGGCTGGAAGCCCCGCGGGGCGCGCACCTGAATAAGACGGCATCGCCACGCGAGACAGAGATCGACGCTCGCCGCGAATCGGCGCTCGGCAGCGAGGGCTGATTGGCAGATCCGTGTCGACGCCTCGGAGATCGACAACTCAGCCTTGGGCGAACGGGCTCAGAGGAGGCGTGGGGCAGAGAATGGCTCACAGAGGAGGCGTGGGGCAGAGAATGTCTCACAGAGGAGGCGTGGGGCAGAGAATGGCTCACAGAGGAGACGTGGGGCAGAGAATGGCTCGCAGAGGAGGCGTGGGGCAGAGAATGGCTCGCAGAGGAGGCGTGGGGCAGAGAATGGCTCGCAGTTTTTAGTTTCAGTTTATTTATTTTTGGTATAGCCCTGTGAGCCATTCGGCTCTTGAACCGGGTGCAACCACAACAAACCAAAAAAACACGAACAAGAAAATCCATGAAAAAAACAGCAAAATATTCCTGAAAAAAGCACCGTACACCAACGCTGTGTGCAAAAAATCCCAGTGGGATGCAAGTCAAACAACAACAACCACAAGACATCTAAGATTAAGGCCATCAGTCTAACTCCGTACTACAACAAAACAAACATGTCCAAACCAAAAAAGTTTTCGAAATTACCAAAAAATAAAGCCATAATTACAACGTAACAGTGATCACAGGGACTGTGACTGAATTTTTACAATAAACTACATAAATAACATGTAACACCAAATCCTATAGCCATAGCTGGCTGCATGAGTTACTCCACAACAACATAAGCATAAGTCGGAGTATCACATTTTTCAATGCAACTTTAAGATCAGCACGCTAAATCAAAATACAGATAATACTTTGCAGCGGTCATCCGGAGCGAAACATTTTATTTTACGCCAATGAATAGCAGTGGCAGCTAGGGGTGTACAACTCCTCTAGAGCAGTTATGAGAGAAGATCTCATTGGTAGCGATTCAAGTTGCAGTTTATTGGCAATAGAATTCCAGACCCTGGGGGCATCAATAGCAAAGGCCCTTCCTCCAATTTTTGTACGGCAATAGGGAATGTGAAGGTGGTAAATGAGTAAAGACCTGAGGTCAAATTTGTTCTTTGAAACAGAGAGGAGATCCAGCAGGTAGTCTGCGGATTTTTTTGTAAGTACATCGTGAACAAATAAGATCTGGTGCACAAGCCGTCGAATATTAAGATATGTTAAGTTTGACCCAATGTAAAGATCACAGTGGTGAGTCCTATATGGGCAGTTCAATGCAAATCTTAAGGCCGAGTGATAGATGGAATCAAGCTTCTTCAGTACAGTACTTGGGGCTGATTTATACACGATATCACAGTAATCAAGTAGAGGCAGTATGGTAGCTTTTATCAATTCCAAACGGAACATTGGGGGGAAGCAGTGCTTGTGTCGATACAGAAAACCAATTTTTATTTTTGTCTTTTTACCAATATAATCAATGTAATCTTCAGCGGAGACGTGGGGCAGAGAATGGCTCACAGAGGAGACGTGGGGCAGAGAATGGCTCATAGAGGAGATGCGGGGCAGAGAATGTCTCACAGATGAGATGCGGGGCAGATGATGGATCACAGAGGAGATGCGGGGAAGAGAGTGGCTCACAGAGGAGACGTGGGGCAGAGAATGGCTCACAGAGGAGACGTGGGGCAGAGAATGTCTCACAGAGAAGACGTGGGGCAGAGAATGGCTCACAGAGGAGGCGTGGGGCAGAGAATGGCTCACAGAGAAGACGTGGGGCAGAGAATGGCTCACAGAGGAGGCGTGGGGCAGAGAATGGCTCACAGAGGAGACGTGGGGCAGAGAATGGCTCACAGAGGAGGCGTGGGGGAGAGAATGTCTCACAGAGGAGGCGTGGGGCAGAGAATAGCTGAGGCGTCTGGCCTAGGAGCCAGGCGTTCGACTGCCACGATTGCTGTGTAATCCCAATTGTGTACTTTGTGGTGTTTTTTTTGTTACCAAATTTGGAACATGACGCCGGCACTCAATGGCCTACTCGTTTAGAATATCAGAGGAACATTAGCATTCACTGTGAAGCACACGGCGTGTATTTCAACGATTAATTAAAACACACCCGAGTAATCAGCGCAGCCCGCCAGATTTGAACCACAAACTTCTGCAACAAGTGGAGAATACCCTACCGCTTGCACTGTGCCTCAGACACAACGCAAGGCAGCTCATGATCCATGGAGAAACCACAAGGGGAATAACACTCCGAGGAACCACAGGGCACCATAGGGCAATAAACCAAATCCACAAATCGCAACAATCAATATATTTTAATCAAAACCAGGTCAGAGTGCAAAAATACATATTTTTTCAAACGAGACCTAAACGAAATTTACCACCTCAAGCGAATGACCACAGGTTCCTGTCCGATTCTGTGGTATAGGCTACAAAGTGGCGGCTACTTGCCAGATAGTGACTGTCAATTCAGAACGACATTCATCCATTAATCACCGGGTGCAGTGATTGTCACCATCGGTGGAGTGGAGCGGAGCGGCGTTTGCGCGCCTCCTCTGCTCGATAAATGCCACGTCGCGACACAATGTTGTATTGCGGGAGCCATTGTGGCGGCGTAATGAGAAAGTGCGGGCCCCACTCAGCGCATTTATTCAAGAGGAATCGCGTAATTGAATAAACCTTTGGAAGGGGACGTGGAACATTGCAACCCCAGCTACGGCTGGAAAATGGAATTGTTCATCTTCTACAATTTCTATTTTCATTATTCATGCGATCTAAAAATAATATAATCATTGTTTCCCAGGGCCAGAATCCCCAAGGACACCAGAACCCTCTTGTCATACCTAAACCTCGTTCCCAACCCAGCGATCTGCTCCTCTCTATGCCTCGTGGTGGGAGGTATTCTCATGCCCCTCAGAAACGGCGCTAACTCAACGATGCTCTCCCATCACAAGCGGCTCTCCAGCACACCTCATCGCTCTAAGTTTAACTCGGACCAGTAGCATGGCTGCGATGCACAGGAATAAACTCGATAATGATTTGATGGCAGTGATAATGACGAAGTTAAATCCTAGACTACTTCATAACTGGACCATCCTGCTCCATGCACTCAACCCACCATCTCATCCTTCCCTCCTCAGTCTCTAGAACCTGGCAACCCTAACACAAACTATCCATGGACGTTATACATGAAGTGAATTGGTCAGTCAATTCACAGAGACCGAATAGCGGCGACAGAATTCCAAATACCGCAAACTGAATATTGTGACCATAGATTAAATCATTATGATCATCGTCATCAGCAGCAAACATGATCTATCCACTGCTGGATGAAGGTCTCCCCAAACATCAGAGAGCAAATGAAACCACAGACTAAATATCAAGACTGGGATTGAAAACCAGAGACCGAATACCGGCTCCGAAGCGGACTCGTGCTGGGCTACCCAATGACACCGCTTATAAAATGGTTAGAATCACAGATCCATTTTTTGCGGTTTGCTGTCATATTGGAGCAGGCACATGATTAGAAGCCACAGCCATAGTGAGTGGTATACTGTGTGTTTTGTGCCGGGAGCAGAAATATTTGTTTGCAGAAGCGCCACACAGAAGGGGTAGTTGCTTTGGTTTGGCTCTGCGATGTTTGTGATGTTCGCAATGTCGTCTCTACGAGCCTCCCTCCGTCACCGCTGCTGCCACCGAATGTTTCCCTGAGCTGGCGAGCTCCCGCCACACGCGTCCGCCCGGGAACTCAAAATCTTGAAGAGAGTCTTCCCGCATCTCCGTCGAGTAGCCTGGCTCCTGCAGACACGCGGATACACGGACACAAATTGTATACACAGGCACAAGAACATGGAGATAGGCTGACACACGGACATATGGATACAGGGCTATGATGAAACAGCAAACATGATCTATCCACTGATGGATGAAGGTCTCCCCAGCAACAAGTGAGACACAGATACACGTGGACTAAGAGACACATGGGCGCATGGACACAAAGAAACACACAAATACAAGAGCGTACAGACAAATGGCCACACGAGCGCACACACACTGACGCACGAACATGCTGTCGCACGCAACGAACACACAGGCCGAGACACGCAGACCAACACACCCACACACCACCGCACAAGCACACACAGCCAACACACGTTTCACAAGCATTGTGTTCATTATCCCCCCCGCCCCACAACTCGTGCCCTCTCTGCGCACCTCTGAATAATAAATGACATTTTGTTTTACAAAAGCTCATCTCGCACCGCAACCTTAATTGGTTCCATTTGGACACCGACTGTCAGAGATCGCGTCATTAATTCAGCGCAGGACCCGGGATCAAAGGGCCGAGAGCAAGGCCGCTAAACAAGCGCCGTCGCCTGCATCGCTCCACGCATCTCATTGCGGCTTAAACAAGCGGAGAGCGTCTCCTCACACAGGAATAAAAATATAACTCGATATTTTCCAGGTCACTGGTGGATTCGAGTAGGTGGCACGTGGCTAACAGCCACCGCCATAGCGAGGAAGCATGCTCTATTTGGTGTGCCCGTTGTGTAATTTTTGGGTCGGCTGAAATTAAGCCCTATGTAAACCCATGCTATCCATGGATGTGAATGGGAGTCTCGATATAAATCTATGGGCCTTTATAGGAGTCTATGCATCTCAATGTAAGCTATGGGTCTCTATACGAGGCATTGAGTATCTATGTAAAACTATGTGTTAAATTTCTTGGTCAATATTTTCAGGGTGCTGATAGACTGGCGTAGGTGGCATGTGATGAGTAGCCATGGCGATAGCCATGAGAATGATTATCGTGACGAGGATGGATCTCCGCCTCGGGGCTCCATAAGCCAGTGGGTACTTGAGCCAGTTCCAAGCCTGAATAAAGGAGGAGGGTCGGGCAAATGGGTGCTGATACTTCGGACCGATGCAATGACAAACATAGCAACAAAATACCGGCTCGGACGTCGCCCAGGTCAACAAGGTCTGCGTATCCAATTGCGCAACCGGGATTGGGTCACAAAATTTACTACCGGTAACTAGCATAACTAGCACAAGCTCAAAATGACAACAGAAGAAATCGCAGTAGGGATATGGAATGTTAGAACGTTACGTGCAACAGTTCAGTTAGAGTTACTTAAGAAAGAAATGGAAAGTTATAGGTATAACATTTTAGTACTATCAGAATTGAGATGGACAGGTGCGGGGGAGATAGGCGGAGGTGAAGTAATTTGGTGCGGAGAACAAAAATAGCAGATTAGAGGAGCAGAATTCACAATAAGTGCCTGTGCAAAAGCAGCTCCATTAGGACACAAACCAGGAGACTGAAAAATAATTGTTGCAAGATTCAAGGGACAACCTTAAACTATTTACGTTATCCAGGTATATGTACCAACATCAGCTCACAGAGGAGGCTCTTGAAGAGTTTTATGATTAAATAGAAGACTCCTTGAACGAACTATCCAGAAAAAAGATATTAAAATAATTGTAGAAGACTGGAATGTCAAGATTGGAAAGAATAAATCCGAATGGGAGCATATAATGCAAAGGCATGGGTATGGAGAAAGAAATGTAAGAGGAGATAAATTACTAACATTTGCTACAAAATATGATATGTTGATTTGTAATACTAAGTTCCAACAAAAAGACTGCAAACATACATGCAAGACACCAGATTAAAAAATACAAATATTATAGACTTGGTAACGATTGACAGGTGATGGAGAGCATCAGTGAAACTGTGCAGGCATTTCAAGGAGCCGATATAGCATCTGACCATATCTTAGTATTATGTAACTTACAATTGAAGTAAAATGCATGCCTAAGACGCCTTATGAGCAGAATATCGAGGCACGTGAGAATGAGGAAACAGGAAACTCGAAGAAGAAATAAAAAAAGGATGATGGAGGCAAAAACAGAAAAAAATGTACATGAAGGTAACCACCCTAAACAAGATAGTGGAGCAGACATTAGAAGCGACAATACCCTTAGCAGAAAAACCTAAAATAAATTTGATAACAGAGATAACCTTACAATTGGCATAGGAAAAGAGAAAAGCAAGCCTAAAAATATAATATTCAGAAGAGATGCAGAAAAAGTACAAAAAAATGTGCAATGAAGTAAGAACATCAGCAAGAAGAGACAAGCAGGGATGGCTTGAGAAACAATGTAGTGACGTCGCACAGTACACGCAGCAGGAGAGTCTAAAGACCAGGGAGAGGTTGACAAACTTGCCAAGAGTACAATTAGAAGTGGCAACCAAGACAAGCAGCTATAATAGACAAGGATGGTAATATTTGAATGGACAAAGAAACATATAACAATAGATGGACAGAGTATTGAGGTGAATTATATAGGGAAACGGATCAGGAGAAGACAGAATTACTGGATGAACTAAAAAGGATATCTCCACCACCTAGGGACGAGGAAGATGATACAATCTTATACAAAGAGGTAGAGAATGCAATACAATTTTCAAGAAAAATAAGAGCCCAGATATGGATGGATTAAGAGGGGAAATAATAAAAATAGCTGGAGGAAAATAACTCATGAGAGAAATGCATGTGCTATGCATGGCCATGTGGAGATAATGAAAAATAACAGATGAATGGACAACATCTGTGATGGTTACGATACCTAGGAAAGGAGATTTGACAGACTGCAATAATAGGACCATAGCATTGATGAGTCACATGGGAAAGGTGTTAATGATAGTACTTTTGAATAGGCTTCAACAGCAGATAGAATAATATCTTGCTGATGAAAAGGCAGGTTTTTGGAAGGATAAAAGCACCGTACAGCTACTTGTTATGTTAAGGCTTATAGCACAGAAAGCAAAAATAAAAAATAGACCTGTATACAACTGTTTTGTGGATTTGCAAAGTGTTGCAAGAAAGAGTTCATACACCGATAAATTCAGCAAAGAATGCAGGACTGAGGGTCAATGTGGAAAAGACAAAGACGATGGTGTTTGGAAGTGAACACATTGAGAATGAAAGAATGATATGAAACCGAAAGATAGAGAATGTACAAGAAAGTGGTCTACTTGGGAAGCATGTCGACCTGGCACTGTACGAAGGACATAATAAGGGCAGCGATCGAGAAGGCAAAAGTAGTAATGGCAGAATTTAACAACATATACAGAAGCAAGCAAATTAGCTACAAAATCAAGCTGAGCATCTTAAAAACATGCACAGATTTGTATGCCTGGGAAACTTAGACACTAAGAAAGACTGACAGGGACAAAATAGTTGCATTTGAAATGTTACTGCTGGAGGATACTCCATCTTAGTTGGAAAGCAGAGAGTGACAAACGTAGAAGTGAGAAAAGGCTGAACGTAACAGAAGACTTGATGCAAGTGGTACTGAGGACACTTGGTTTGTTTGGGCACATATGCAGGATGGAGAACAACAGGAAGATATAAACTGTAATGATAGGAACAATGGTGGGAACTGGAAGAAGAGCAAGACCCTGTAGGGAATGGCTGGATGACATAAGAGATTGGTGCCAGAGAGATGCACATAGCCTCAGCATGTTGGCACAGGATAGAGGGAAGTGGAAACAAGTAACAAAAATTGCAGTAGACACTTTCAAGCTTTCAGCCCAGTTTGATGATGATGAGTGTGGTGACAATGATAGCGATGATGAGAGCTATGATGATGATGATGATAGCGATGATGACACTCATGCGTGAGTGCTTCCTCACCATGGGGGGCATATAGGCGGCCTTGTGGATGCGCACAGGAAACACAAAGTGCTCGTGCAGGTGATCCACGTACTCGCACACCCTGTGTCACACCACGGCACACCTATTAACACCACACACCACCGCATCCCACGGCACACGACCACATACCACTCTAAACCACCACACAACTATTAACACCCCCACACCCCACAGCACACCACCACTTAAAACAACACCAGAATGCGAAACCACACACCACCATACACAACCACACACCACCGCAACACCACCGCAACACCACGGCATCACACCCCACCCCACCACTGTATTCCACCTTACACAACCGCACCACAAGTGCACACAACCATTTACCAACGCGCCGCCAAACACAACCACAAAGAACAATCAAATTCACACCCCGCACACCTCAAACACACAATAAAAGTCACACCTGCCACACGCAAAAACAAAACTCACACAACACAGATCCCCCGTATAGCCTCAATAGACTGTTGGGGCAAGTGCTGCGAGCGAGCACCTATGAAAGCCATCACGTTATACGAGGGGGTGGGTAGCCAGCACCATGCTCGACCGCCTTTGTCTCCCCAGTGGCAAGATTTACACGTTTGCACCAGGTACTAATTTTAGGCTATGTCGACCTAGAGGAAGCCTAGGACCGATTCAGATAATCCCCACTGGCGTTGATTGCTGTGAGCGGGAATAGAACACAACCAGCACACACACGCACACTTGGTACACACAACACAATGGGTACCAAACTCAACTGTCAAATACACACACACAGCAATCAACACAACCGCCCAGAGCCGGATGAAGGTGTTTTTGATCCCGGGACACCAGACAAGAACCATCGCTCCGCTTCTCTTCCACTATATACATTCACATTAACGCAACGACACGAATACTGACTTTTCTCAGTAAATACGTCAAGTCAATGTTCGTCGTGAGTCCGTCGAGAGCTGTGGGCCCGGGACACGCATCTCGATCGCCCCCCACCTGCCTCTTCCCTCCCCAAATCTGACCCCGCTACCACGCGACATGCGTGATGTCAAGCGTGATGTCACCTGTTCTCCAGCGACGTAGACACGGAGAGGAAGTCGAACATGCTGATGTGCTGCGCAAGCTCACACAGCCCCACGCCTCCCGCATGTGGGCACACGGGCACTGCAAAGACAAAGATCCCCCGTATAGCTTTTACGTGACTGTTGGGAAAAGTGCTGTTAGCGAGCACCTATGCAGGCCGGCACATAAGGGGGTGGGTGGCCGTCTTTGTATCCCCAATGCTGATATTTAGACACTGTTCTAGGTTCTCATTTAAGGCTCAGTCAATCTAGGGGAAGCCCAACACTGGTTCAGATACCTGTCACGAGTGTTGGCCGGGAATTGAGCGATAACCGAACTTGGATCCAAGGGTTCATAACGCAGTGCGCCAATCACTACACTACAGCTCCCTACATGGGAACTCCACACACACACACACAATGTAAGTAATCATTCACAGGTGCATACACACAGAAGTTAGGCCCACAACCCATCACAAGTCGTCTGGCCACAGCTCTGATTAGCATGGTTGGCTACATACGGTGCGAAAGTTCAACAACATGCACAAATACACGTGCTCAAAGTTTATACCGCCCATACACAGGGCTACCCATAGCCACCATCAATTTCTGTCCCATTGCCCCCGAGCTTCTGGACCTGTGTTCCCCCGTGCCCACCAATGGCTGTATCTGGCCTCCATGGCTACCCCTGGCCACCCCCGACCATCCCCGGCCGCACCTTGGAACTTGCAGGCCATGAGCAGCACGGCGAGGATCTCCGGAATGCCGCCCAGGCGGCACGTATCCACCTGGCAGAACTGTAGCGCCTTTGCCTGCAGAAGCTGTTTGAAGACGACGCGGTTCTGGCACTGGGGGCGCAGGTCACGCCACCGCAACGGTGCCGCTCGTTAGATCGATGCCAGCTGGCTCCATTGTGACTGTTTGAACGTCCATTTGTCCGTTGGGGGGGCGAGTGGGTTAGCTTGCTCAGTCGTTCGTCGTTAGGGTGGTTGGTTGGTGTTGTGATTGTAAACAGCGTGGGCGTCTTGTACAGTTAATTAAAAAACCCAAGTGAAATCGACGCTGACAAAGCAATTAACACCGATACTAAAATTAAATGAGCCATGAGGAAATGCAGGGAAGAATTAAATAACAAATAAATAAAAAATAATTGGCCACAAACTATCATGACTGCAACTCAGACACAACCTCACACCAGGGACACAACAGAGCAACACAAGGCATACCCACGCCCGAGCCCACCCATCAGCATTTGTACGCCCTGCATGTCACCATTTCCCTACAAAATCAACAAACTTCACAGTAGAAAAAGGAATATTTGAAAAATCGGCCAAAATCATTTAATTCAAACCTCAGCGTCGGCATCAGGAACTCACCTGCTCACCTGTCGCCACGCCAATCCCCAGCGCAGACAGCGCCTGAGACAACGCGAGACAGCGGGAGACATCGTCACACCAAGACAGCCGAGGAGCCCCCTGGCTACAGCGTCTCCTCGCCAAGAGACGTGGTGTTTAACGTGAAGAGAGATGCGTGACTTTGCTTTACACTCCCCCCACCCCCCGCACCACCCATTTGTAGAACGGTGGTGCCGCCTATAGCTCCATCTGTCACGTTACTCCGCGTGTCACATGACCCCATTTAATCACGTGTCCCCGTGTCCTGAAAGAACCAAAGAGTAATTCCCGTAGTCACGAAAGCTTCAAATAAAGTTTGTCTCCCCACATGTCACGTGACCCCACGGGGTGGCACCTGCGAGATGTATTTGTGACCCAGCACGTCGTCGGGAGATGTGGGCTCCTCGATCCAGAGGGGCCGAAACCTCGCGAGCTTCTGCGTCCACTCCACGGCCTCCAGCACGTCCCAGCGCTGGTTCGCGTCCAGCATCTATGCCCCCCCAAAACCAATGCATTCTAAATGGAGGGCACGGGGTGATCATCACCACTTCGCCAGCATGGAGATATTGGGACAGCGCGGGAGGGCAGTGTGTGGGTAGTGTGCGGGCAGCGTGTGGGCAGCGTGTGACTCATGTGTGGGTAGTGTGTGGGCTGCATGCCACCCGTACCAGGGTACGGTCGGGCCCAATGACGTCTCGGATGATGTGGCAGCGCCGCTCGTCGTCCTCCAACGAGCTCCCCACCTTCACCTTGAACCTGCGCCAGCGCTCGGCAAACACGGAGCGCGACGCGATCAGCGTAAACACGACCCCCGCGCCGCCTCTCATGCAGATCACTGTCGAGCCGCGCGCTAGCAAAACAACCCCTCAGATAATCACGCTAATTGTGTTTGCGCTCGGCACCGCGCAGGTAATCAACGGCATTAATGAAGAGGAGGCAGTGTGCGTGGCGTCCACGTGCTCACGGGCAGGGAGTTCGTTGCAGTCGCACGCACGTCTGTGCTCGATAGCCTCCGCTCGTCGGACTGCCTGTCGGCCTATGCTGCCCTGGCTTGTTCGCACCCCACGGGGGCCAAGTGGTAGGCAGCAGAGAACAGTGTACAAAATCCATCGTTGTACTGCTCATCTATGCTCCCACGTCTATGCTTACCCCTCACCACTCATCCCTCAATCCTGACCCCTCAATCCTCACTGCTCACTCCTCGCTATTCACTCCCAACCCCTCACTCACAAACCGTCGTCTCACCTTGTCCAGCCATCCTGCAGGGCCTCGGTGCACCGCTGGGAAAAGGGTGGGGAGAAGTGTGAGACAGTGGGAGATGGGGGAGGGGAAGACAAGGAGTGACAGAGTGACACACGTGACCATCGTCAGGATCCTTACGGAACCAGCGTTCCATTACAGGTGCGAGGTTCAGGTGACACAGGTGTGACGTTCAGGTAATACAGGTGTGGAGTTCAGGTGACACCGGTGTGGGGTTCAGGTTACACCGGTGTGAGGTTCAGGTGACACAGGTGAGTGAACGAGGCGCAGGTGAGTTGGGGCCGCACCTGTCTGAGTTCGGCGTCTGGGTAGCCAAGCCACGCACAGGACGTGGTGTATGCCGGGAATCCCGATTCCATCAGCTGGCTTTCTGGAGGTCACAGTGAGATGGGGTGAGGAGACGGGGGGTGAGGGGACGGGGGGGGGGGGAAGTAGGGAGGATAAAGACGCTCAGACGTGGTGTGTTGAACTTCTTTCGCACCATACGTAGCCAACCGTGCTAATAGGAAGTGCGGGAGAAGAATAACAAAAAGCGGTTCTAAAGATAGAGTTTTCAATTTAGATTTAAAAGCGAATTGTTCCAGTGGCTTCATAATTCATTATTCTCCATCCGCCCACCTGAGTGCAATTTACACCAAGTCCTGTGCAGACCGCTCACCACCGCAAGTCGCTCGGTCTTGCGGATGGAGATTAATTTTGCGCTGGGTCGCGACCTTTCCCCTACGGCTTTCAATTAAAATGGCACGCAACAGGCGTCTCAGTAGCCGCATGGGATGGAGTCGGAGCCAGAGCCAGATTCCCATTCTCCGCATGGACGCAGGGCACCCTCCGTTAGTGCCCCACGGGGGCTGCATGGTGGGCAGCAAAGAGGGCAGCCCAGCAAAATCCACTTTTATATTGTATTGCTGTGTTCCCGCATCTATGTTCACCCCTCACCGCTCCAGATCACTCATGCTAATGAGACTCTATCCTGGTCTCCAGTTCCCACCAGGTTCAACAAAATCAACTTGAGCTGTGCCGGAGCAGCTGAATCCGGACTCAGCTCAGTGAGGGCCCCGTGGGCTATATCAGGGGTGAGGAACCTTTTTTTATAGCGAGCGGAGAATACGAGTTTAAAATAAGTCCGGCGAGCAAACACACGTTAACGTACACTTAGCATTAGCCAGCGATAACGCAAAAAAACACGAGGGTGTGCATTTACCCAATTCATGGGATGCCTGCTCACCACTCCAACACATTCATGACGGATACTCGCAGTACAGCAAATAGGCGTCACACCGGTGTGTACGGTGATCAAGATTTCTTTCCTCCGCAAAGTCGGGTTCCTCCAGGCTCTCCAGTTTTCCCTCAAATCCACCACAAACTCCCGTAGGGAATCGGACAAACGTCCAAACAGGACACGCGCGGGACACAAACTTCTGGCTTCCTGAGTTTATTAAAGAGATGAAGCTGTAGAAAGGTGTCCGTGGGGGGGGGGGGGGGGGTGTGAAATTCCCGATAAGAATATAAGGTGGGGGGGGGGGGGTGTGAGGGGAAGGGAGTGGGCCTTCCACACTCACCCCGCGCCTCCCTGCCGACCCTTCCCTTGCGCAGGATTTCTGTAAAAAAAACGGAGAGCTTGTTTAAAAAAGGAGAGATTTTCATCCAAATAAGATTCTACTCTTGCTGATGGCACTGTGAGAACGCATATTAACTTGAGATTAGCTTGCACCACCAAGTGTTAGTGAACAGCCCTAGCTAGGAATGTCACAATTGCAAACATTTTCTCCAATTTTACACCGATTGTGTTATCAACGAAAACAGACGAGGAACCCATGTGGAGGCCTCACACAGCAGTACACCACCTCGTGTAAGGGAAAGGTTCATAGACGTAGCTACTGCAGATCTAATTCACTGCTGCAGACAGTAGCATTCATCGCATGACAATCCGATTCTCAGAGGTGGAATTTATCGCCAAATTAATTGTAAAAAACAAATGTGTTACGATGGTTTCTTGTGCTGTCATTGGCGATTGGTTTGAGAGCATCAATTCAATCAACTTGACAACCCAGCTAAGTCAAGAATGGCTGGAACCCAGATGCAAACCTCAGCATCTCACTGGCGCGAGCTCAGTTCTCGGACGTGCCTATGATGAATCTTATGAGCCGAGACGGTCCATTTAGCGCTGGACTTTGTCTCCACGTTTTGGGAAACCCCACTGACTAATAGCAACACACTGTTATACTAAAGTTGTGTTCGTGTTGGATCATCTGTATGAAAGTTATCCACCATCTGGTATGGACGGATGGACAGGCGGACAGAGCTAACGCATTAAAGCTTTTAAGCGGGGCGCGTCACCTAGCGCCTCGGCGCGTGTCAGCGCGTCCGTGATGTAGCTGAAGTCGATGCAGGACACCAGCTGTTCGGGCTCCTGGGGGGCACGGAACGTGCGGGGGGGTGCAGGGGAAAAACAAGGATACATCTTTCACTGAAAAATGTAAATGTTTGTAGTCGAGGGGGCATGATTCGCAGCCACAGCCAGAGGTGTACTGGAGGTGGTGTGCCGGATGCAGAGAGAGACGAACCCCCTGCCACTCGATCACCCCCACCACCGCCCCGTGACTCAATTAACCCTCACAGCTGGGGGCTGCCGTCCAATTCATTTTTGTTTGATTTTATCACAGTCTCTTTTGTGCCGACCCCCAATTTGCTGTTTGTTCAACCTCATCCATACAATTAGCATACGTTTAACATGTTAATTTTAAGTACTTAAGAAAAACATATCATTTGCGAACATCGCCGGTTCTTGAAAATCACGTACGGGATTTTATGCGTGTACTGCGAGCATAAGACTGTCTTTCTAACACTAAAGCATCACTGCTTTCCCAGAACAGATTTTCGACATTCTTTTATTTTGGCTGTCGTGGGAGGGGGCAGGGCCCCCCACTTACCATGTCACTCAGCAGCTTCCACAGCGGCTGCAAGAAGGGGGAGGGGACAGAGGCAATCAGCCAGGCGCGACGCCACAGCCCCAACTCCCCCAGGTCCCTCTTGGGGAGCTAAAGCACTTACTCATCAGCAGCTGGCCATTGTTACACCGTCAAACATTAACGCACGATTGCCCAAGAGCTGATTATACCCCCCCCCACCCCCCGCAAGAGAGGCTATGGGGGACGGAGCACGTGACTTTTTATTCAACAACAACCGCCGTTCACTCTGAAGTCACCATGACGCTTTGTGCCATGCATGATGCACTTTGAGGCCACATGAAGTGTCAAAGACCCGCTGGCAGGAGGTCATGGAACAGACCCAGGTACCACGGGTTGACCGACTGAGATGACTGGCAGATGCACCAACTGTACTCCGCTCGTTGTTGTGAGCATCGTTCCTCTAACCTCCATTGTTGCTGGAAGGCAACTGCCTCCAACTCCCCAGCAGCGTCCTTTATAAACCTCCTCCACAGAGGTCCATCTTGACACTGGCACCAGTCATTAGAAAATCCAATTAGCTGCATATCCTTCTGTACCACATCAGTCCATCTATTCTCTAGCCCGTGCCGTGCCCATTCAGCCCGATCTATCCAGCCGAATATAAGCTGCTTGAGCATGCGGTGTTGGGCATGCAGGCTACATGACCCAAACACACACAGACAAAGATCCCCCCCGTACAGCCTACACAGACTGTTGAAACCGGTTCGGCACATGATGGGGGTATAACCCGGAATCACCAGCATACATCACCTGTGCTACCTCTACCACTCACCCCTCGAGCAAAACCTGTGCAACATTCCCCACCTGTATCACTCACCCCACCTGTGTCACTCAACTCACCTATGACGCTCATCCCACCTGTACCACACACCCTAAGAGCATCACCTCCTCCAACCTACGTGCGCCACCCACACCCATCTCGCTGTGGCCCCGTGGCCGCCCCCGGTCCTACCTTGCCCTCGAGCCGGGCCCACAGGTCCCAGAGTGCGTTGAGCACGGCCGCCACCGCCAGGTGGATGACGCCTTTCTCCGGGCCCACCTGATCGCGCCCATTTGTACACACACGTACACATGCGTACACATAGGCGTACCACACGCATCCACGTTGACACACAGTCGAACAGAGATACGTGCACACACACATGCACACATATACACGACACACGCATGGACAGACACCTTCATCGATTGCCCTGGGTATACACGTTCTCCCATTTTCCGGCTGTATCATTCTTTGATAAGTTCTTCAGTCACATCCTGGAATTAATTTCACGTTATCAGCAAGTATCGGAAAATTAAAACTTTGATCTCTCCTCTTCTCTTGGTCCCGTGTAAACTCACCCCAACCGATCCCCTCAAGCCCCCCCTCCCCCTCACCTTTCCCGTGTCCCCTCAGCTCCCTCACCTCCCTCCCTGCTCACCCAGCGCAGCTGCCCGTCGTTGGCAAGGCGGTGGTAGAAGGAGCCAAAGTCTTCGAAGATTCGCTCAAGTTGCTCGCCCACGACGAGGTCTGATACGGCACGCACGGCGCACACGACTGCCATGCGCGCATACAAAGACAAAGATCACCCGTATAGCCTTCATGAATTGTTGGGGAAAGTGCTGTTAGTGAGGACCTTTGAAGGCCGGCACGGCACACAAGGGGGTGGGTGGCAAGCTGCCCAGCCGACTGCCTTTGTCTCCCTCGTGGCAATGTTCACACAATCGCTCTGGGTACTCATTTAAGGCTGAGTTGACCTAGGGGAGGCCCCAGGACCGGTTCGGATAATCACCACTGGTGTTGGTGACCATGAGCGGAAATAGACGTCGGGTCAGTGGGCTCGTACGGCAGTGTGCCAACCACTAACATACAGGTAGCCACAAAGGCACGCAAATACACTTATATATCATAATACATGTTGAACTTCTTTCACGCCGTACGTAGCTAACCGTGTTTATCGGAAGTGCGGGGGAAGGACAACAAACTAAACACAAAACGCAGTTCTGTATGTATCACTATGTGCATGTCAAGTGAGCCTCAGGCGTGCCTGTGTCTGGGCCCAGTGTTGCCCCCCTAGGTTTGGTGTTGGTGGAAGGCCTCCCCCACCACCCTCTTCCCGTACCGATCTCGTTGCCCCTGCCCAGGGTGAAGGTGAGGCCAAACCCAGAGAGGCCTCCGCATGCGTCCGTGCGAACCTCCACGTAAGCAGCCGAATAGTCGGGGTCACGGTGCTGCACACACAGAGACAAAGATCCTCCGTGTAGCCGATTCAGACCAGTGCAGTGCATCCAGCATGCACCTATGAGGCCGTCACAGCGCACGAGAGGGTGGTGTGGCTAGCATCACCGCGTTTCCTCCATAGTGCTGATGTATTTATTTAAGGCTGAGTCAGATAATCGTCACTAACATACCAGTCCCCACATGCAACACGCAAATACACTTACAAGCACGTATGTATAAACTGGCCACACATTTCCATTATCACATCTCAAATACTGATTGCAGCAATATTTGTGAACATTGCCAAATACGTGCAGTTATCACCACACTGTAACTTCACACTGCAATACCTTCTACTTGACTTTACATCCTCAGCAGAAACTTCCATGTGTCACTGAACTTCGCATGTGCATTTGCGCAAGGGCGCCACCGTATTTGATCGCATGATAACATCCACCATCTCGAGGCAAAATCTGGAGAGATCATGTCTCCGAAATCTCAATGAAGTTAACGTAGTGATGCTAATCATAATGTAAAGCCTACTGCTTAGATGAAGACCCAGCCCAGGCCGGGTCTGTGGCCATACTCGCTGGGGAGCGCGGGCTGGGAAAGGGCGTCCCAGGAGCGATTCTAAGAACGCTACAGCCATTGCCGGGAATCCAACTCAGGCGACAAGGTTGATGGTAGAGCGCGCGAGCATTGTGCCACTGCTCCCACCCAGGTCTCCGAGTGAAACGCCTTGCAAAAGCACACACGCAAACAAGCATCCACCGTTATCCACAATCTAGATTTATACAAACCAATACACACGCTGCATACATATTCTGCTCCGTTTACATGCCATTCGTGAATCCACTGCTGGATGAGGGCTTCTCCACGCCGTTATAAGTCATGTGGGTTATTTGGCCATGCTTCACCATGCTGGTTAGTGCCGGTTGGTGAAGGCGAGCAGCATGGTGTGGAAACATATCGTCACATGCTATGCAGAAGGGCTATTGTCCGAAACGTCGCCAATTGTTTTCTTTCAAGACCACAGTGTTATGATTGTATTGCATGTGTGTGCCACTGCCAACACAGCAGCAGTAGCAGCATGAGCAGCGTGTAATATAAATATGAAGTATTTTCTGCACTGCTCTCAGCCGCACACACTGCACAGAATACACAATCGTGCACAGTACTGGCAACATCCAGAAGCGTGCCTGGCCATCGTCACACACACAGTTAACAGACTATCTACTGCACGCTGAATTCACACTTACTCCATATAAACCAACAATGGGGTTAGTTCCCTTACCGGCACCCACACTTGACTTATACCCACATTGTCGTTATGCAATACAAATAAAAGAATCGCTCGAAAATGATGGCTCGACTTTCTTGAGCTCGCAACAACAACGGCGATTACGACGAGCGGCGGCGTGGCCCAGCAGAAAGCGTTGCCCTCTGGTACCCGACTCGGTGTTTGTGGTGTCACCAAGTGGCGGGGTTTGTGGTGTCACCAAGTCGTGGTGTTTGTGGTGTCACCAAGTCGTGGGGTGTGTGGTGTCACCAAGTCGTGGGGTGTGTGGTGTCACCAAGTCGTGGTGTTTGTGGTGTCACCAAGTGGCGGGGTGTGTGGTGTCACCAAGTCGTGGTGTTTGTGGTGTCACCAAGTCGTGGGGTGTGTGGTGTCACCAAGTGGCGGGGTGTGTGGTGTCACCAAGTCGTGGGGTTTGTGGTGTCACCAAGTGGCGGTGTTTGTGGTGTCACCAAGTGGCGGGGTGTGTGGTGTCACCAAGTGGCGGGGTTTGTGGTGTCACCAAGTGGCGGGGTTTGTGGTGTCACCAAGTCGTGGGGTTTGTGGTGTCACCAAGTGGCGGTGTTTGTGGTGTCACCAAGTCGTGGGGTGTGTGGTGTCACCAAGTGGCGGTGTTTGTGGTGTCACCAAGTGGCGAGGTGTGTGGTGTCACCAAGTCGCGGGGTGTGTGGTGTCACCAAGTCGTGGTGTTTGTGGTGTCACCAAGTCGTGGTGTTTGTGGTGTCACCAAGTCGTGGTGTTTGTGGTGTCACCAAGTGGCGGTGTTTGTGGTGTCACCAAGTCGCGGGGTGTGTGGTGTCACCAAGTGGCGGTGTTTGTGGTGTCACCAAGTGGCGGTGTTTGTGGTGTCACCAAGTCGTGGGGTTTGTGGTGTCACCAAGTCGTGGGGTGTGTGGTGTCACCAAGTGGCGGTGTTTGTGGTGTCACCAAGTCACGGTGTTTGTGGTGTCACGAAGTCACGGTGTTTGTGGTGTCACCAAGTCGTGGGGTGTTTGTGGTGTCACCAAGTGGCAGTGTTTGTGGTGTCACCAAGTCGCGGTGTTTGTGGTGTCATCAAGTCGTGGGGTGTGTGGTGTCACCAAGTAGTGGGGTGTGTGGTGTCACCAAGTCGCGGGGTGTGTGGTGTCACCAAGTGGCGGTGTTTGTGGTGTCACCAAGTCGTGGGGTTTGTGGTGTCACCAAGTGGCGGTGTTTGTGGTGTCACCAAGTGGCGGGGTTTGTGGTGTCACCAAATCGTGGGGTGTGTGGTGTCACCAAGTCGTGGGGTGTGTGGTGTCACCAAGTCGTGGGGTGTGTGGTGTCACCAAGTGGCGGTGTTTGTGGTGTCACCAAGTGGCGGGGTTTGTGGTGTCACCAAGTCGTGGGGTGTGTGGTGTCACCAAGTCGTGGGGTGTGTGGTGTCACCAAGTCGTGGGGTGTGTAGTGTCACCAAGTGGCGGTGTTTGTGGTGTCACCAAGTGGCGGGGTTTGTGGTGTCACCAAGTCGTGGGGTGTGTGGTGTCACCAAGTCGTGGGGTGTGTGGTGTCACGTGTCCCTCACGTACCATGGCGTCAGAGCCGTGCTGCTCCAGGGACGTGGGGAACCTCACGTCTCGCACAGTGATCCCCGTCACCCGGCCCTGGGGTCCCATCGCGAATCGTGGTTGGGGGGGGGGGCAGGGGACCAGGAGGTCCCAGGAGGGGACCCAGCAAATAGAGAATGGTCCCAGGAGTACGGAGCAGGCGTTCTGGGGACAGGGGTCCCGGTTGCACAGGTCCCAGGAGCAGGGGGCACAGCAACAGCGACCCTCAGCCCCCCTCTGTTGCAGCACGGAAGGCTATGAAGGGAGGGGAGGGGTTCGCGGGGGTCAGAGGGAGGGGACAGGGACGGGGTTAGAGGTCCGGTATCAGATCCGGGCCGAGCGCGAAGCCTGCGGCTTGAAGCGGAACTCACGGAGACAGACACGGGGATACACGGGGAGACAGACACGGAGACAGACACGGGGAGACACGGGGAGAGACGGGGAGACACGGGGAGACAGACACGGAGACAGACACGGGGAGACATGAGGAGCCACGGGAAGACAGACACGGGGAGACACGGGGAGACAGACACGGGGAGACACGGGGAGGGAGACACAGAGAGGGAGACACGGAGACAGACACGGGGAGACAGACACGAGGAGACAGACACGGGGAGACAGACACAGAAACAGACACGGGGAGACACGGGAAATGCGGGGAGACAGACACGGAGACAGACACGGAGACAGACACGGGGAGACACGGGGAGACATGGGGAGCCACGGGGAGACAGACACAGGGAGACATGGGGAGCCACGGGGAGACATGGGGAGACACGGGGAGACATGGGGAGCCACGGGGAGACAGACACGGGGAGACATGGGATGCCACGGGGAGACAGACACGGGGAGACATGGGGAGACAGACACGGGGAGACATGGGGAGACAGACACGGGGAGACACGGGGAGACAGACACGGGGAGACAGACATGGAGACAGACACGGAGACAGACAATGGGAGACAGACACGGAGACAGACTATGGGAGACAGACACGGGGAGATACGGGGAGACAGACACGGAGACAGACACGGGGAGACATGCGGAGACAGACACGGGGAGACACGGGGAGGGAGACACGGGGAGGGAGACACGGAGACAGACACGGGGAGACAGACACGGAGACAGACATGGAGACAGACACGGAGACAGACACAGAAACAGACACGGGGAGACACGGGGAGCCACAGGGAGACAGACACGGAGACAGACACGGGGAGACACGGAGAGGGAGACACGGAGAGGGAGACACGGAGACAGACACGGGGAGACAGACACGGGGAGACAGACACGGAGACAGACACGGGGAGACATGCGGAGACAGACACGGGGAGCCACGGGGAGATACGAGGAGACAGACACGGAGACAGACACGGGAGACAGACACGGGGGACACTGAGAGCTACTGAGACACGAGTATACGCTGAGACGCGGGCTCTCTGTGTGGAGTTTGTATTCTCTCCCCTGCTGTACCACAATGGGTTTCCTCCGGTTTCTGCCCAATGCAAGTGGTGTGGGGTAAACATCCCCCAGTGTTGAGAATGTAAAGTGTCGTACCTGCAAGTCGCTGTGCTCCGTCGGGGTGACAGTGCAGCAGCAGCACCGCCGCTTAGCGCTGGGCCCTCCTGTGAACATTGCGAGCGTGTGATCAGAGTATTCTTGGGTCTTTCGGTAAAGTCACGGAGATAGGTTCAAAGAAAACAACAACAAATAACAAAGTCGTTTTTAGTCGTGTTTTTTATTTGACCCTATCTACGTTACTTTACCGAAAGACCCAAGAATGTGAATTCCTGCTTACACGAGGAGGTCCCAGGAGGGGACCCGGCAAGCAGAGAACAATGGACCCAGGAGTACGGAGCAGGGGTTCTGGGGACAGGGGTCCCGGTTGCACAGGTCCCAGGAGCAGGGGGCACAGCAACAGCGACCCTCAGCCCCCCTCTGTTGCCCTGGAGCAGCGATGCTGAACACACAGAGGCAGCGCGGACGGCTATGAAGGGAGGGGTTCGCGGGGTCAGAGGGAGGGGACAGGGACGGGGTTAGAGGTCCGGTATCAGATCCGGGCCGAGCGCGAAGCCTGCGGCTTGAAGCGGAACTCACGGAGACAGACACGGGGAGACAGACACGGGGAGACAGACACGGGGAGACAGACACGGGGGGAGACACGGGGAGATATGGAGAGACAGACACGGGGAGACACGGGGAGACAGACACGGAGACAGACACGGGGAGACACGGGGAGATACGGGGAGATATGGAGAGACAGACACGGGGAGACACGGAGAGACAGACACGGGGAGACACGGGGAGACAGACACGGAGACAGACACGGGGAGAAACGGGGAGACAGACACGGAGACAGACGCGGGGAAACATGGGGAGCCACGGGGAGACAGACACGGGGAGACAGACACGGGGAGACAGACACGGGGAGACAGACACGGGGAGACAGACACGGGGAGACAGGCACGGAGACAGACACGGGGAGACATGGGGAGACAGACACGAGGAAACAGACACGGAGACAGACACGGGGAGACATGCGGAGACAGACACGGGGAGATACGGGGAGACAGACACGGGGGACACTGAGAGACAGACACGGGGAGACAGACACGGGGAGATAGACACGGGGAGACAGACACGGGGAGTCAGACACGGGGAGATACGGGGAGACAGACACGGGAGACAGACACGGGGAGACAGACACGGGGAGACAGACACGGGGGGCACTGAGAGCTACTGAGACACGAGTATACGCTGAGACGCGGGCTCTATGTGTGGAGTTTGTATTCTCTCCCCTGCTGTACCACAATGGGTTTCCTCCGGTGTCTGCCCAATGCAAGTGGTGTGGGGTAAACATCCCCCAGTGTTGAGAATGTAAAGTGTCGTACCTGCAAGTCGCTGTGCTCCGTCGGGGTGACACAGCGCAGCAGCAGCTGCAGCAGCACCGCCGCCTAGCGCTGGGCCCTCCTGTGAACATTGCGAGCGTGTGATCAGAGTATTCTTGGGTCTTTCGGTAAAGTCACGGGGATAGGTTTAAAGAAAACAACAAAAAATAACAAAGTAGTTTTTAGTCGTTTTTTTATTTGGCCCTATCTACGTCACTTTACCGAAAGACCCAAGAATGTGAATTCCTGCAGTCACGAAAGCTTTAAGTCAAGATTTAGCGTGATAACCCTTTCCTGGGTAAAGTCGCTAAATGAAACTTAAGCATGTGGGTATGGGTGCGATGTTACGTCTCGTCTATGGGTCTTATGTGAATCTCAGGGTCGTATGTGCTATGGAGATGGGCCATTACCCGAAACGTCGCATGTTGTATCGTTTCGGACAGTGCGACCGGAGTGTGCCGTGAGCCGGGGCTGCCCTCTCGCGGACTCGCGCCGCTACCGCTGTCGTGAAGAGGGCCTCCCCGTTCGCACGTCACGGCTACGGTCAATCTACTGCTGGATGAACGCCTGGCCACGCCGCCGCGTCGCTCATGTTGGCATCTTTGCCATATTTCATCACGGCAAAACTACACGAACTCTCTCTCTGCTAAACCCTCTCGTTGCGAGCACACCTCGACATTGGCATTTGGCTCCTGAACATCATGTACAGTACTACCATGCGCAAGAACAGAATATGGTCAATCCACCCGCTCACAACACAACCCGCTGTGCGGGCAGAGCGCGTGTGGATTTACCACGTCTTTCCCGCATTAAAACCCACAGTGGCCTGGTCTCAGCGAACTGAGGATAGGTGCAAGCAGGCGTTTCAACATCGCTTGCAGCTGGGGTTAGCGTCGTACCCACCTCCATCTGATACTGAGGGGAAATGTGTGAGGTTGAGGACTGTGGTTCATGCAGCTGCATTGGCTGCATTGGGTATGTGGTCCAGACCTCGCTAGAGACCCTGGCTGAATGAGAAGGTGTTCCAGCTAGTTGAGAGAAAACGGCAGGCCCCTTCCTGTCGTCTTCAGCATCCAACATCGGAGAATGAGGAGGCTTACCGCAGCCTTCACTCGGAGATACAGAGAGCCGTGCGGTGCTGCAAGGATGAGTGGTATGCGCGGGTTGCTGAGGAGATGTAATCCGCCTCAGTCGCCTGCACTCATAAATCACTTTTTTATTTCATTTTTTTTAAAAGTTACTTGCAGCACCTCACCTATCACCATCCTTAAGGGAAAGAGCGGTACTCCGATATCCGACCCCCAGGAAAAGGTCTGCAGGTTTGCAGAGAATTTTTGTGATGTCTTGGGGGAGCACAGACAACATCATGGGGCAAGGTCGGGACGACCCTGCTAGGGCCGCAATGCCTCAAATATTGACAAAAGTAGCCACCCCTTCTGAATGGTTTGCTGAGGTGCCATCTGTGGAAGACGTGCAAGGGGCGATCCGAAGTCTGAGACCAGGAAAAGCGCCGGGCAGAGACTATCTCCCAAGTGAAATGCTGAGGGAGGGTGACATCTGTGTGCAGACTGCCCTACATTACATCACAACTGGCTGGACCACAGGACGGGTTCCACAGGGTTGGAAGGATACCCTGGTGGTCCCCCTCTTAAGAGATTGTAACAACTATAGGGGCATCTCTCCTCTCAGTGTACTGGGAAAGGTCCTGGCAGGCACGCTGAGGAGAGGCTTGCGGAGCCCCAATTTGATTTCAGACCAGCGCAGTTCTGCACGGATGCCATTTTATCTGTCCGTCTGCAACAGGAGAAGTGTAGGGAATTCCAACAAGACCTACAGTACATCTCTGCTTTATTGACCTGGTCAAGGCCTATGATACCATCAACAGGCCGGGGCTGTGGGCAGTTTTTCGTGCTTTCAGAGTCCTTGACTCTCTGCTCACGATCATTAAGGGCCTTCATAATGGTGGGCAGGCCCGGGTAAAGCTACGTGGCCAGGAGTCGGAGCCATTCCCTGTTCACCTTGGGGTGTGACAGGGATGTCTTCTGTCTTCCACATTATTTAACATCATATTTGACCACGTAGTTCGAGAAGCTTTATATGGCTGTACCAGAAAAATTTCCATCTGGTAGAGATACAACGGGAGGTTGATCGATGCCCGAGTGCGGTTGAGGGATGGCTCCCTATTGATCAACAATGTTACGTATGCTGATTATCTGGTGATTGCTGCTCACTCAGAGGAGGAGTTGAAGGGGCTACTGCTGAACCTGGAGCTTGACACTAAGAGGTGGGGTCTTATCATCAGCCCCACCAAAACTAAGCACCTGCCTGGGTATTTTGTGCCACCAAACACTCCACCGCCTCAGCTCTCCATTGGTGATGGAGCGGTTGTGGAGAGAGTGGAGAGTTTCCCATACCTGGGCGGTGTGCTTATGAGCAGCTCCGGTTTGACAGCAGCGGTCTCACTCCGAATAAGTCGAGCGGTAATATCTTTTCATCGGCTGTGCCGCGCTGTGTGGAAGCTACCTGGTCTGTCGCTCCGCACGAAGCTTCAGGTCTTCTCGGCCACAGTCATGCCCTACCTTGTCGATGCTTTTGAAACGTGGACCCCTCTAATATAATATCTCCGCCGGTTAGAAACATTCAGGTTGGCATACCCACGATCCAGCCTGGGTTTAACCAGGCTGGATTGTGTAAGTAGCTCTCAAATCTTTGAAAGATCTGAACACATTCCCATCAGTGAGCTCCGGCAGGCAAGGCTGCGTTGACTGGGTCATGTAGCCCACATGCTCAGCCACCGCATACCCAAGCAGCTTCTATTTGGCCGCATAAAGGGAGCTAAACGGGCGCGACACGGGCTGGAGAAGAGATGGAGTGATTCATCTTCTTGGTTATTTCGGTAAAGTCACGTAGAATGAGAATAAAACAATAAAACAAAATAAGACGATAAAATTCTCACGACGTTTCGGCCACAACACAAGTAGCCTTCTTCAGGTGAAGGAACAAATGTCGGGACGACAGCGCTTCAAGCGTCGTGAGAATTTTATTGTCTTTTTTTGTTTTATTGTTTTATTCTCATTCTACGTGACTTTACCGAAAGAACCAAGAAGATGAATCCTTGCAGTCACGAAAGCTTTAAATCGAGATGGAGTGATGTGGTACGAGAGGATGTGGAGCTGAGTGGACTTGCCGCCGACTGGTACCAGCGGTGTCAAGATCGCCCTCTATGTAGGAGGCTCGTGATGGACGCTCCTGGGCAGTTGGAGGCAGTCGCTCTCCAGCAACAACGGAGGGCAGAGAAGCGACGCTCACAACAACGAGCGGAGCACCGGGCGGCTAAATTACAACAAGTTGGCTCAGTCGGGGGTACAGCTGGTGCATCTACCACCTGGGTCTGTCCCGAGACCTCCTGTTAGCGAGCCTTCGACACTTCACGTGGCCTCAAAGTGCACCTGGCCTGGCACAGACGTCGTGGTGACGTCGCCGTCACTGAGTGACGAATGGCGGTGTATCGGTACTGGTTTCCCACAATATATCGAATTTTCTCAACAGACTCAACTGTATTATTTGCCTCTTCACACAAACGCTTCTGGAGATCATCATTGTATCTGTTGGTGGCGAAACAGTCCCTTGGCTGATGTAGTATTATTATAATGACCATCCACATTTCCCCAACACAATCTTGCACACCCAGCGGAGGTAGTTGTCCGTGAGAGTCTGCACTTCTGATCAAACTGCGGCATCGCCCCAAACGTCATCCGAGTGATTGAGCAGCAGTGAATAAATGTATGGCAGCTCAGTGCGGGCAGGTGCACGTGAGCGGCGGGTAGTGTGGACCTGAATGTTTATACGTGCGCAGCCAACCGTGCTAATCGGAGGTGCTCAATGTGGGTGAGAGTGGTACCAGCGCAGCCGGCTACAGGTGACTGCAGTAGAGTTCAATCCCCAGGCGTGACCACCTGGAGGGATGCAGGGGCGGGGGGAGGTCGGGGGGAGAGAGGGTCACGGTGTCGCGCGCCGCAGTCGCCGCTCAGAGTCGCGCGCAGCGCACGCGGAGACGCCACGCGATGTCCGGGAGGAGGCGCGGTGAGCGAGCGACGGAGACGGGGGACCGAGAGGACTCGGGGGACGAAGGGGACCTGGGAGACTCTGGGTACCGAGATGATATCCCGGTCATTGAGCCCATAACAAACGGTGAGGTCATCCCCATCGCGTCACTCATTCTCTTCATCATCCAATTATCATTACTATCATCCGATCGTCATCATGATCCAATCATCATCATCTCAGTCATTCTCTGTTTGACCTCTGTCCTTGTCATCCACCGGGGCAGGATTATTTATATTTGCAGGGCAGCTCCAGGGCTGGGGGCACGGCTGCTCGTGCTGCACCCCCCCCTCACAGCACGACGTCTGTGGGAGACGCTGCGGGGCATCGGCGCTGTTGTCCACGGAGACGGGGAGAGGGGGGGGGAGTTTGGCGAGAGGACGTTCTAGGAAAGGGGGGACGAGGGGGCAGAATTATAGAGGGGAAATGGGGTAGGGAAAGAGAGGTTTGGACTGTGAGTGATAGAGGAGAGAGAGAAGCAAAGAGAGAACGCAGACTTGGACAGGAGAGAGGGCAGTAGAGGGGGTGTGGAGGGTCCGTGTGTTGACAGCGTCCCGTGAGAGGCTGTGGTGTGAGCCGATCGCTGACCGCGGCTCTTCTCGCCGCGTTTACGGCCTCGTAATCGCAGTTTACGGTCGCGGACTTGAGCGTCACCCCGTGATCTCCCACGAGTCCCGTGATCTCTCACGGGACTCGGCACGAGCAGCATCGGCGCCTTAAGGCACTCGCTCGCTGACGTCGATTTCCCCGTGACCCCTGCGTCTGTTAGACCCAGGGGGGTTGAGCATCACAGCGTGGGGTCTTGGTGGAGCTGCGGTGATAGAGCAGCGAGTTCACCTCCATCATCGCGGAAATGAGAAATGAAACCGCGGAGCACGAACCGAGACGCGAAGACTCATGACGCGGAGACTTGTGACCGGGGTCTCGGTTGTGTGCCAGCGCGATGCGATGTCAGGTTACCCGCTCCGCGATGAGCGTGGGGAGTTTTTGAGTCTCAAGGGTGAGGGTATGATGTTGCTAATGTTGCTGATAATAATCATGTACATTTGATAATTGCATCATTATAATAGAAATAATAATAAAAAAACACTACTTATTTACCCAGGAAAGCTACAATGAGTCCAAAGGGTATGTTTCAGGAAGGTCTTGCATTGGGATGTTTGGGCAATACCAATTACATGGGGGGTTTATAGCTATGGCCATGCCTTTTAAACTTTATAGAACATTTCCGTCCTGCAAAACTTGATGACAGTGACATCTCGGACAGTGGGCGGCCGCGTGTTCCAGACGCCCGAGAAGTGTGCGAGTGGGTGGATGATTTAGTGGGTGAGTGATTGGGTGGGGGGGTGAGTGGGTGGGTTATTGAGTGGGTGAGTGGATTGGTGGGTGCGTATACGAGTGGTTAGGTGGGTGGATGCGTGATTTATTGAGTGGGTGAGTGATTATGTCGAGTGGGTGAGTTAGTGAGTGGATTCTAGATTTGAAGCTTTCGTGACTGCAAGGATCCATACTCTTTGGTTCTATTCGGCAAAGTCACGTAGGTAAAAAATAAAACAAAAATCACGACGTTTCGGCCACAACACAAGCGGCCTTCATCAGGTGAAGGGACTAGACTGTCTCGAGGACAGCGCTGGAGCTTGGCTGTGTTTCACTCCAGCGCTGTCCTCGAGATAGTCTGGTCCCTTCAGCTGATGAAGGCCGCTTGTGTTGTGGCCGAAACGTCGTGATTTTTGTTGTTTTATTTTTTACCTACGCGACTTTGCCGAATAGAACCAAAGAGTGGATGTGTGGGTGAGTTAGTGGGTAGGTGAGTCGATGGTTGGACGCCGTAAAACTGTGTGAGGCGTCACCCCGATGTCGCCTTGGTGTGGTGAGTTGATCGCGCGCTGCCAACCGCAGCTGCTGACAACTGGGATCGGTGGAAACTGGTACTGTACCGTCACGTACCGGCCAGGTGCGACAGTGCCAGTTGTTGTAAACACTTGTAGACTGGCATGCACAGCTTGTAATCGTCACGGATAGTCGCGGCGATGAGAGCTCACTTTGGTGTCTGCGCTTTGAGGTCTCCTCGCTGCACCCTCCCTCGAAATCCTATCCCGTGAGTTCCTCCTCCTGACTCGGTGTAATTCCAAGTGTGGACTTCCCCACGCTACTTTGCGCTCCAGCGTTGCACTCTTCAAGTATCGTGTGCATATTTTGATCGGTGTCTGATCCGTGTCTGATCCACGTCATGGCGATGTTGATTTTGTGGGGGTCGACGTCCACCCCACCGCCCTCGCTAGGCAGGTCGGGCGCGACGTCCACCCGTTCCGCTCCCTCCTCCACCTCGTGGGTCGGCTCCCGCCGGGCCCCCACCGACGGAGTGATGGGGCCCCCCACGCGAGCGCGTGCTGCTGGCTCGTAGCCACACGGAGTTAAACCACACACCCGTGCACACCACAGCTAACGGGGGTGGTACGAAGGCGCTCGCACCTGCGGGCGACCATCTCTTAACGCGTGCGCGCTGCGGCCCCGCGTTCACCCTCGCCGCGCATTCCCCCACGCAGCCGCTCCACACAGGAGTCACAGACACCACAGCCATGCTCTGTGCTAACTTTTATTCGTGGTGCAAACCCCGCACTGCCCGGAGGGAATATTTTGCGAGAAGAGCCTAGCCTACTGTTACCCAAATCCCCGACACTCAGACGTTCTTTCACGTACCTCGCAGCTGTACTCGCGGCGTCGCACGGACGCTGTGAGAGTCGGAAGGAGGAGAACGAGAGAAAACTTTACCTATCACTGCCTCGTAGCAGCACTCGCTGGCATCACACGGATGCTGCGAGCGGCTCGAGAAGGCAGGACGGCAGGGAGTGGGCCAATGGTGCGCCTAACCCTCACATTATCGCTCACTTGGACCTTGTGCCACGGGGAGTGCTGCTGCTCCACGTCCCCATTGTTCTCCCGTACTCATTCATTCTAACCTCATGGTCTGCTCTTCTTGCCTAACATTCCACCCCCAGCCCCTCCCGATGTCGTGAATGACTCATTGCGGCTGGCCCAGTGAACGTTTTTGCGCCCATACAATTTTAATCCAACTCAGGGGCACCGCAATGTGACCTGTCCTGCGAGGGACGGCCAATCTCCTGGCACCTGGAAACCGTGGGGGACTTTCCTCCTAGGGACCCTTCGGATGAAAACCCGTCATGCCAGGCAATCCCCCGCCAGGACACTCCGTGTGTGCGCTCAGTGTGTGCGCTCAGTGTGTGCGCTCAGTGTGTGCGCTCAGTGTGTGTGCTCAGTGTGTGTGCTCAGTGTGTGTGCTCAGTGTGTGCGCTCAGTGTGTGCGCTGCGTGTGGGTACTCAGTGTGTGTGCTCAGTGTGTGTGCTGCGTGTGGTTGCTCAGTGTGTGTGCTTAGTGTGTGTGCTCAGTGTGTGTGCTCAGTGTGTGTGCTCAGTGTGTGTGCTCAGTGTGTGCGCTGCGTGTGGGTGCTCAGTGTGTGTGCTCAGTGTGTGCGCTGCGTGTGTGTGCTCAGTGTGTGTGCTCAGTGTGTGTGCTCAGTGTGTGTGCTCAGTGTGTGCTCAGTGTGGGTGCTCAGTGTGTGTGCTCAGTGTGTGCGCTCAGTGTGTGTGCTCAGTGTGTGTGCTCAGTGTGTGTGCTCAGTGTGTACTCAGTGTGTGTGCTCAGTGTGTGTGCTCAGTGTGTGCTCAATGTGTGTGATCAGTGTGTGTGCTCAGTGTGGGTGCTCAGTGTGTACTCAGTGTGTGTGCTCAGTGTGTGTGCTCAGTGTGTGTGCTCAGTGTGTGTGCTCAGTGTGTGTGCTGCGTGTGGGTGCTCAGTGTGTGTGCTCAGTGTGTGTGCTCAGTGTGTGTGCTCAGTGTGTGCGCTGCGTGTGGGTGCTCAGTGTGTGTGCTCACTGTGTGTGCTCACTGTGTGTGCTCAGTGTGGGTGCTCACTGTGTGTGCTCAGTGTGTGTGCTCAGTGTGTGTGCTCAGTGTGTGTGCTCAGTGTGTGTGGTCACTGTGTGTGTTCACTGTGTGTGCTCAGTATGTGTGCTCAGTGTGTGTGGTCACTGTGTGTGCTCACTGTGTGTGCTCACTGTGTGTGCTCAGTGTGTGTGGTCACTGTGTGTGCTCACTGTGTGTGCTCACTGTGTGTGCTCAGTGTGTGTGCTCAGTGTGTGTGGTCACTGTGTGTGCTCAGTGTGTGTGCTCACTGTGTGTGCTCAGTGTGTGTGGTCACTGTGTGTGCTCACTGTGTGTGCTCACTGTGTGTGCTCAGTGTGTGTGCTCAGTGTGTGTGGTCACTGTGTGTGCTCACTGTGTGTGCTCAGTGTGTGTGCTCAGTGTGTGTGCTCAGTGTGTGTGCTCAGTGTGTGTGCTCACTGTGTGTGGTCACTGTGTGTGCTCACTGTGTGTGCTCACTGTGTGTGCTTAGTGTGTGTGCTCAGTGTGTGTGGTCACTGTGTGTGCTCACTGTGTGTGCTCACTGTGTGTGCTCAGTGTGTGTGCTCAGTGTGTGTGGTCACTGTGTGTGCTCACTGTGTGTGCTCACTGTGTGTGGTCACTGTGTGTGCTCACTGTGTGTGCTCACTGTGTGTGCTCACTGTGTGTGGTCACTGTGTGTGCTCACTGTGTGTGCTCACTGTGTGTGCTCACTGTGTGTGCTCACTGTGTGTGCTCAGTGTGGGGCCAGGGGAGAGTCGCGGTGCTGGCAGAGTTGCTCCGTGGCCGTGGCACCACACTTTTCATTATTCAGTTCAGTGGTGAGTGATGGCTGAGTGGTGAGTGATGGCTGCGTGTTGAGTGAGTGGTGAGTATTGGCTGAGTGGTGAGTGATGGCTGAGTGGTGAGTGAGTGATGGCTGAGTGGTGAGTGATGGCTGAGTGGTGAGTAATGGCTGAGTGGTGAGTGAGTGATGGCTGAGTGGTGAGTGATGGCTGAGTGGTGAGTGATGGCTGAGTCGTAAGTGAGTGATGGCTGAGTGGTGAGTGAGTGATGGCTGAGTGGTGAGTGATGGCTGAGTGGTGAGTGATGGCTGCGTGGTGAGTGAGTGGTGAGTGATGGCTGAGTGATGGCTGAGTGGTGAGTGATGGCTGAGTGGTGAGTGAGTGATGGCTGAGTGGTGAGTGCTGGGTGAGTGGTGAGTGATGGCTGAGTGGTGAGTGATGGCTGAGTGGTGAGTGAGTGATGGCTGAGTGGTGAGTGCTGGGTGAGTGGTGAGTGATGGCTGAGTGGTGAGTGATGGCTGAGTGGTGAGTGAGTGATGGCTGAGTGGTGAGTGATGGCTGAGTGGTGAGTGATGGCTGAGTGGTGAGTGAGTGGTGAGTGATGGCTGAGTGGTGAGTGAGTGGTGAGTGATGGCTGAGTGGTAAGTGAGTGGTGAGTGATGGCTGAGTGGTGAGTGAGTGGCGAGTGAGTGGTGAGTGAGTGGTGAGTGATGGCTGAGTGGTGAGTGAGTGATGGCTGAGTGGTGAGCGAGTGGTGAGTGAGTGGTGAGTGATGGCTGAGTGGTGAGTGAGTGGTGAGTGAGTGGTGAGTGATGGCTGAGTGGTGAGTGAGTGGTGAGTGAGTGGTGAGTGATGGTTGAGTGGTGAGTGATGGCTGAGTGGTGAGTGAGTGGTGAGTGATGGCTGAGTGGTGAGTGAGTGGTGAGTGATGGCTGAGTGGTGAGTGAGTGGCGAGTGAGTGGTGAGTGAGTGGTGAGTGATGGCTGAGTGGTGAGTGAGTGGTGAGTGATGGCTGAGTGGTGAGTGAGTGGTGAGTGGTGATTCTCCTCTACTGCCCCCTGACCTTAGGCGTCGCTCTCGGCCGCCTCCCTCCCTCCCTCTCGGATGAACACGTCCACTGTGTCCGCGCGGGCTCGAGACACGCGGTCGCTTCGGACCCTGCACGAGTGCACACTGCATGGCGCTGTCTGCTGCTGAGTGCGGACTGCCTGTGGACGTCAAGTGCGTACTGGTTGCTGGGTGCGGGATGAGTTGTAGAGTGCTGGGTGTGTGGTGAGAGTGCGATGGGTGTGATGAGTCCAAGGTGAATGCTGAGTGAGTGGTGAGTGCTGGGTGCGGAGTGCTATGTGTAGGATGCGGAGTGCTATGGGTTGGGTGCGTGCTATGGGCGTGATCCTGGCCCCAGGCCGCAGGTGCGGCTGCCGGTCTCGCCACATCCTCGCCGCGCTGGGCTTCGTCGGACTGGCCCTGGTGTACGCGCTGCGCGTGAACCTCAGCGTGGCCATGGTGGCCATGGTGAACAGCACCGGGGCTGCACACCAGGACAACAGCAGCGCGTACTGCCCGCAGCCCGCGCCCTTAAACGGCAGCCACCCCGCACAGCTGCCCTCTGTGCGTCACAGACACGCGCACTGCACACAGCGCCCCGACCGCAAGCCTCACCCTGAGCCCGAGCCTCACTTTACGCATCCCACCCTTAACCTGAGCTTGATTTCACCTCATGTACACCACATTGTCTCTGACCTTCACCTCTGCCCAACCCTTCCTGCATCTGACTCCCCCCTTCCCCGCCCAGGTCACCATTTACAACTGGGATTCGCGAATCCAGGGGTGGATCCTTAGCTCCTTCTTCTACGGCTACATCATCACACAGGTGCGCCCTGCTCGCTTCTCCCACTCCACCTGCTCCATCTGTTCCACCTCCACTCCACCTCACCGCTGCACTCCACCTCACCGCTAAACCCCATCTCTCCAGCAGCGTTTGTTTAGTAAGTTTGCCCCCTGCCTCAAATCGGATGCGTGCTTCAAAATACTGAGCGGGCATCATCTTGCACATTGATTCGGCCCTCCAATAACCTTTCGAAGGCCTTGCCTCTTCCACCCCACTTAACTCCGCTCGCCCCCTCCCACTCCTCCCCATAGGTTCCTGGGGGTTACCTGGCAGGCAGGTACGGTGGGAAGCTGCTGTTTGGGGTCGGCGTCACCTGCACCACGGTGCTCACGCTGCTTACGCCGATTGCCGCACACTTCGGGGTCCCGTGGCTCCTGGTCGTGCGCGTCCTGGAAGGGCTTGGAGAAGTGAGGACTCTTGCGACTGTGGTGGTCGGTGAAATGGTAGTTGAGATGGAGGTGGCTGAGATGGTGGTTGAGATGATTATGGATGTAGGGTCGAACTGTGGGGTTGAGATGTAGAGTTGAGCTATCGGATTGAGTTGTTAGTAGAACTGCGGGGACCTCGTGTCGTCCACAGGGCGTGACCTACCCCACCATGCACGCCATGTGGGCGCTCTGGGCGCCTCCGTATGAGAGGAGCACCCTCATGAGCATCTGTTACTCCGGTAAGAACACACAGCCGACTCCACCACCACCATTTGCATCACTGCCGCCGCCACCACCGCCACCATCAGCACCGCCACCACCACCACCGCCATCAGCACCACCACTACCGCGCTCCACCTTCAGAGCTGCTCCACGCCACTCCCCTCGTGTGCCACGTCCAGGTGGACACTTCGGCACCGTGGTGGCCATGCCGCTGTCAGGGATCATCGCAGACAAGCTCGGGTGGCCTTGGATCTTCTACATCTTCGGTACGAGGAGTCGCAGGGCACGGGGGCATGCGGAGCACTTTGCACCGTGGTGCCTCCCACGGACAGATTTCACCTGAGATTAGATTTGAGCTTAAGTGAGACTTGACCTTTTTCTAACGTTCATAGCTCACCCAGAACGCAACCGGTCTCATCCAATCTGGGAAGCTAAGCAGACTTGAGCCTGGAAACGTACTTGAATGGGCGAATAACCAGCATGGCAGGCGTTATTAAATACAAACTGCGGGGAAGTATGATGAACAGCAGAGAACAGAACAATTGTCTTACTGTACCGTACTTCCATGCTCTCCGCCAACACCAACCATGAGCCGTATGGCATGGGGAGGCCCTCTTCCATCAGTCGATTGACCAGGGTTACTGCACTTGAAAGTTGACCTCGAGTGAGGTTTGACCTGGAGCGAGATTTGGCCTGGAGTGAGACCCGAGGCTCGGCCCCTGCTGGTGTCGTCTGCCCTGCAGGAGGTACCGGGCTACTGTGGTCGATCGTCTGGTTCCTCTTCGCGTTCGATTCCCCGGAGAGGCACCCGCGCATCTCCGCCGAAGAGCGGGAGTTCATCCTCAAGTCGCTGCAGGCGGAGCGGCAGGTCGTGATGATCGCCATCGTCACCATCGCCATCATTATCATCATCAGTAGCAGCAGCAGAACCAGCTTTATCAAGATAATGATCATTTATATTGATTTCGTCATCATCAACATCATTATCTTGCTTATCGCTATCATAATATTCATCATCAACAACATAATCAAATAATCCTCATTCTCATAGAACGAATTTTCATCACCATCAGCATAAACATCATAATAATCATCACCGCCGTCATCTCGCATATCATCATCAGGATAATCAACATATTTATCAACACCATCATAATCATCATCACTATCTTCATTAATTTAACCATCATCATGATCGCCACCATCAGCATTGTCGTCTCGTGCTGCACCCGTACCTCCGTCCAATCTTCCATCGGCGTGGTCGCATCACCTGGATGATTGTTACTCACCTGAGCGACGCTCCTCACTCCCGCGTGGTGGTGATGGAGGTGTGCAATAATGGTATTGTATTTTTTTATAATTCTAATATTGAGTGTATCTATAAGCAGCGTCATTTATGCAACTACATTGCACATCGGCAAACACGGAGGAGCGCATGAGTCACGATGTGTTTAGCCACTTAATGATCGTTTACACACGTAGGACGAAACCGGAGCACCCGGCGAAATCCCACGTATGCGAGGAGGCAACACTCTATCCCATACAGATAGGTCAGATGATATGAGTCAACTTTTATGCTAGAGTGCATTCTCCCAGTGAGCCAAGGTACGCCACGCCCTCGACGCCCACGGGAAGGGGGTTTCTCAACACCTGAGTGTGATCCATCGACCCTCGCTGTTGCCTCCACGTAGAGTTGGGCTACGGTGGTGGTGGGTGGTGAGTGTGCGCTCACCGGGTGAGTGAGTAAACGGTGCCCCCCCTCCCTCCTCACCGACTCCCGGGCCCCCGTGGCAGGCGAATCACGGCACGTCCATACCGTGGCGCCACGTGTGGACCTGCATGCCTCTCTGGGCCATCAACGTGGCCATGTTTTGCTCAGGCTGGGGCTTCTACGTGCTGCTCACCTCGCTGCCCACCTACATGAGCACCGTGCTGCACTATGAGATGCAACAGGTGACGTGGGGGCATGGTCGTGGGGCATGGTCGTGGGGCATGGGGCATGGTCGTGGGGCATGGTCGTGGGGCATGGTCGTGGGGCATGGGGCATGGTCGTGGGGCATGGTCGTGGGGCATGGTCGTGGGGCATGGGGCATGGTCGTGGGGCATGGTCGTGGGGCATGGGGCATGGTCGTGGGGCAGATCAGCAGTGGCGGTGGCGTGGCGGACGGTGCACTGCACCACGAACATGACAATCCAAGTTCCATTTTTGTTCATGGCAAACATGTGACAATTACCTGGACTGCTCCTGGACCTCACCTAGGTCGACTCAGCCTCAAATGAGTACCTGGTGCGATGTGTAAACATCACCACTGGAGAGACAAAGGCGGCCGGGCGTGGTGTTGGCCACCCACCACCTCGTGTACCGTGCCGGACTTGATAGGTGCTCGCTAACAGCACTCGCCCCAAAAATCTGTGAAGACTATATTTGTCTATGGTGTGTGACAGCAGGGTGCGTTGTATCGAATCCCAGCGCGTCTAACCCTCGGTGTATCCACGTGGCGCGCCTGACCCCGGCAGAACGGCCTCCTGTCGGCCCTGCCCTACTTGGCTGGCTGGGTGTTCACTGTGGCCGGGGGAATGGCCGCCGACGCGCTCCGCATCCGCGGCCTCCTCTCCATCACCGCCATCCGCAAAGTCGCGACCACGCTCGGTGCCAGCCTCCTCCCTCCCTTCACTACGAACCATCATCATCCACCAGTCACCAATCATCATTACAATGAATTACCATCGCCATCATCAGCCACCAAATATCAGCAACAGCAACATATTTCTATCATCATCTATTAATTACCATCGTCATCATCATCATCCACCAATTACCATCAACATCGTCAGCAAACAAAGTACCATCATTAACATCATTCGCAAATTACCATCAAAACATCATGAACCAATTACCATCAGCGTCAGCAATTAAATCATCAATCAGTTGTCATCAATCAATCACGATCATCAATCATCGCCATCCTCGCGGCGTTATGTAAAGTCGTTTCCTGTCGCAAGAATGATTCGTGTCCTTTGTGTTGAGCGTTGTTGTTGTTGTGTTGTTGTTGTGTGTGGTTTTTTTGGGTGTGTTCCGTGTTGCTGAGTAGCTTGGTCGATCACTTGTGTTGAGGAGCCTCGCGTCTGTGTTGGGCTGTGTTGTATTGGTTTGACTGTTGTAGAACGGCTGTTGCCGTGTGTGTATTAGGCTGGGCGTGACATTCTTTGTGGAGTCATATGTTGTTGTTGTGTCACGGACTCCTCCAGGCCTCGCGGTCCCCTCCCTGTGCCTCGTGGCCTCGGGCTTTGTGGGCTGCAACCACCTCCTCGCCGTGTCCTTCCTCACCTTGTCCGTGGCCTTCGGGGCCTTCACCACAGCGGGCTGTGGCATCAACCAGCTGGACATCGCGCCCCAGTGAGACACAGCCACAGCCTCCACCGCCACGGCCTCAATGGCAGCCACGTCAAATGCAGAGTGGTGACTTCACACGGTTGGCTACGTACGGTGCAAAAGAAGTTCAACTTGTATACTTCGACTTGTGACTCACGGCGAGAGGACGACTCAGAGACGCGAGCAGGAACCACACACGGGGTGCGCTCTGGGCCTTGCCAGCCTCTCATGAGTTCAAGGCGGTCCCCTGCACACATTGACATTGAGCTGACACTCAACGCCTATTTACATCCCTGAGCCAGTGGTGGAAACTCTACATTCCGATGGCGGGGGCGAGTCTCGTAGGACAACCACTACTATTGACTTCTCCACAAAGTTACATACATTTTATTTACGCCAGAGGAAGGGATGATGGGCTGAGTTAAACCCCAACCAGGATTAGAACTGGCAACATTCCGCTCTCCTGCTAAGCCGCTCGCTCTCCTACTGAGCCGCAAGGCCGGTTTCTGATGAATGATTTACGACACGGGCTCGGTTATGTGCTAGCAACTCAAAAACACACACGCCACAAGATTGCATCACTCAGCGGACTAAATTATGTAACACCTGTAGAGCACACACAGGTACACACATTAGACAAGAAGCTCATTTAACACTTACGGCTCGGTAATCAATACCGTGGCTCATCATAGTTGTTGGATTCGGTCACTAAGTCGGCTTAACCCACAAAACAAATTGTGACGTTAGCGGCGTTAAGTCCTAACCCTTGGCGGCGATTGTGGCGCGTGCCTGCGTAGGTACGCCGGCGTGCTCCTGGGCATCTCCAACACCTTCAACAACCTCCCGGGATTCCTGGCGCCGACGCTCACCGGCTACCTGACCGAACACGTGAGAACCACAACCCGAGCCGTCACGGTAACGCTGCGCGGAGCGCTGAAAATCCTTCAAAGGGCGCAGGTGCCACACGGGCTTCGCCAAGTCCCTACAAGTGTCTAGACACAAAGATGTTACCAGAAGATTTACCGAGTATTCCGCTTGCGTAAACTGATGCAGGACGGTTAACACACACCTGGAGTCTTTATTTCTGTTCAATATTACAATCCCACGTCCTCGCTTTGTGTGCAGCGGCTCGTGAAGTTGGCTCCTCGACTCCACCTACTGCAGCCGGTTCAAGTCTCCTGCCGTGCAATTCGCTCGATGCATCGCTCGCCACTTGGGCAACAGTCTCTTGCGCGTAAAACCCAACACTTATATAGATGTAGCAAGAACATCACTCATCTTAACCTGCCCGCATGCTTGCGTGCCCGTGCAGGACACGCTGAAGGAGTGGCATATGGTGTTCTTCATATCGGCTGCCATCAACATGTTCGGGGCTCTCTTCTACCTGGTGTTTGGATCGGGGAAGCAGCAGAGCTGGGCTCGGGAAGGGGGTCTCGAGGAGGGAGCCTCTCTGGAAGTCTCCTCCGTCGAAGAGGCCGACGGGACGGACGGGTCTGCGACGGAGCAGCGTTGGGCACGGCTCAAGTAGAGGTCGGGGATTGACACTAATCCTAACCCTTGACCCTACGGGACACAACCCCCAATACTGACCCACGCCATGTCAGGCACGCCTGGAACCGCGACCCTGCCAGGCATAGCCATGACAGGTGTCTGCTTCAATAAACCTAAATGTGTCTCTAACCCAAAATCTTGACCCTAACCTTAGGCCTGACCTTTCCCCTACCTATACTTACCCTAATGGGTCTAATCTATCACGCTCTGTCACATTCCTCTATCGTAACCATAATCCTGATCAAAAGCCTTACCCCTAACCCTACCAAACATTCACATCAATGGCCACAATCAGAACTTTGAACCCTGACCGTGGCACGCACTCCATGAGACCGGCAATGTTCACGTGAGACGTGTTCAGCTGAGCAGTGGGTTTGCCAGCGCGATGGATCAAGGTCAGAGTCAAGGTCAGGGTCACATCCCCCGCATGAATGCGCCACTCCCGGCTCCGTGGAACCCGAGTCGCCTCAACCCCGCGCGACTCTAGCTCCGGAGTCGTCGCGTGACGCCGCTCAGAGCCGCGCACACGGCACACGGGGACGCCGCGATGTCTGGGACGAGGCGTGCGGAGCGAGCGGGGACGTTGGACCGAGGAGACTTGGCGGGCACATGGGACGTGGAGAAAGAGCTCTCGTGGAGCCACGAGTGGGCGGGTGAGCTCTGGCTGTGCGGGATCATTTCGACCATCATCGTGGCGCAATTGTTTTGCAGATAATTACACTGTGATAGTCATGTGATAAGTGTGCTGCGTGCGGATATGAATGGGTCTTTGTATATGAGTGTGTGTATGTATGAGTGTGTGTGTGCATGAGTGTGTGTGCATGAGTGTGTTTGTCTTTGTAGTGTGCGAGTGAGTTTGTGTGAGTGGAGAAGCGTTGGCACATTGGATGGCACGCTGTCCTTCGAACCCGGCTCCCTGAGTTTGATTCCCGATCACGGCTAACATCAGTCGCGAGTTTTGTGTGCGGTGTTTGCGGGTGGGTGAGTTGCACTGGTTAACACACTGAGCTACCGAACCCGTTAACCTGAGTTGGATTCCTCGCCGCAGATATCATCAATGACGAGTAGTTCTAGATCAACCGATTCTAGGCCTCTCCTCGTTGGTTCATTCCTAAATAAATACCTGGCACGGCGGATAAAACACGAAGTGGATCGTGCGCGCCAACTCCGCCTCGCTGAACGACTCCGCGGGTACAGAATCATTGTCGTGTAATCGCTCCTGCCTCACCTGCACAGGTGATTAATTCACTCCCTTCAACGCCTGTCTCTCCACCTGTGCGCCTTGCTCCGTGCGATCACTGGCACGGCTGTGCGCGGCCTCATCGGTCGAGTCAAGGCGACGGCCTCTCCGCGTCTAAGGTCAAAGCTCGGGCAGGTCGCGAGAAAGGGGCAATGGCTGATGAGCGCGGAGTCACTGCTTAGCGACAGGAGAGAACGTCCGCAGTGGCGGGGATGGAACGATGAGATGGGATCGGGTGCAGGTGCTGGGTGGATCGTTGCATCACGAGACCGTGAATGATGGTGACGACTTTAGGAGACCTCCATCCGGATTGATGATGACGACGGTCAGGGCCAGGTATGAGCCCAGATTCGGGTGAGGGTTTAAATAAGCATTGAGGTCAGCTCGGGCCTACGGCTACTCCGTTCCGCTCTCGGCCCCTGGGTTGCCTGGGACTCAGTGTCCAGGGTTGGGTGTTCAGAGCACAGTGGGGGTCGTTCAGATCCCCGACTGTCAACTGCTCACCATCAACCCCTCCCCATCACGGCCGCTGCGGTCTCCGATTAACCACCCACCTCTCTGTTGTGTTAAGTGCGGGTGAGTTCATTGAGCGGTGTGTGACGTCGCGGGCGACTGTGGATGAGGATAATGATGATGTGTGTACGTCCTTACGAAATAAAACCTCGCCCTGCTATAACTGCACAACCGATCATGGTGGGAATGCACTCGCCGTGTTGATGCAAAGCATCGATCGTCAACTCGGCTCCACCGTGTAAACACAAACCAAGCACACGCGCTGCTGCTGCTGCTGTTGCCTTGACACAACTCAGACATATTCGTCAATAACACCGTGGCCTTAAAATAAAAAAATAGGGGACGTTTCGGGCAATGACCCATCTTCATAGAATATAAATAGAGAGGCCATAGAGGTCGAGAGATAGGTGTTAATACGGCTCAGAGACTGCAATGCACACCGTGGGGCCTGATGTCGCACGGCGATAACGTAGCTACAGGCGTCACGGTGCAGCGAACACCATTGTTGTACTGAACTTCCATGCTCCGGCGTCTACGCTCGCCGCATGCACCAACCCGCACTGATGACCGGCGCAGCGAAGTATGGTCAAACAGCCTCCACGACCCGCGTCACCATTGCGCAAGGGGAGACCGCGCCAAGTGGCCCTGCGCCAGGGCCCCCCCGGGGTAGAGAGGGGCCGCCGTCCCGTCACTCGGTGACGGCGGCTGACCTCCTGTTCACGGTTAATGAGACGCAGTGCTGCGTCTAGACCAGTGGTTCTTAACCTTGTTGGAGGTACCGAACCCCACCAGTTTCATATGCGCATTCACCGAACCCCTCTTTAGTGAAAAATAAAATGAGATTTTTTTCAAATTCAAGACATAGATATGTTTTTTACTGGTACACAAAATGAGCCGTGCATGAACATTACCTTGTTCAAAGAATAAAACCAACACAATGCATAAACTCACAACAAATTACATACCTGGAAATCAATGTGACTTCTGCTGTTGCCTTTGAGAGATCAGTTCAGATATGCGTGGCTTCACCTTGGCAAGTGCCACTCTCATGTCATTTTCACAGCAAAGTCTGTTCCTTTTCTTCGTTTTTATGTCCAGCATCCTCGAAAAGGATTGCTCACAAAGATATGTTGTAACAAATGGTATAAAAAAATCCAGGGCTTTCTTAGCAATAACTGGATACTTGTTCATTTGTCGACACCAAAACGTTGAGAGCGTTGTTGTTCTGAAGAGTTGCTGTTGAACCTGGCTCTGCTGAATTTCAATGATTTCGTCGAGGAATTCATCATTGACATCTGCTGTTTCAACAGCAAACGTGAACGGCTGTCTCACCCATGCTGGATATGACTCTCTTGTAGGGAAATATCCGTCGAGAGACTTTGCAAGCTCATCTAAGTGCGTGGCAATTGTTTGCTTCAGTTCCGTGGATACAGAAATATCTCCGATTCCAGACACATCTTCGATCTTACTTGCACAGTCGTCCAGAAGCGGGAAGTTTGCGAAGTTATTGTTCTCTGTTCGTCGTTTCCATAACGGTAGCTTTTTTTGAAAAGCCTTCAGGTGTTCTTCCGCTTCCATGATATTGACTCCACCATCCTGCATCTGCTGATTGAGATGATTGAGAGCTGCGAATATATCAGCCATGTACACTAAAATGAGAATGAACTCAGGATTTTTGAAGCAATCTGCATGGCAGTGTTGGTGCTCTTGCAAAAACAGGGCTAATTCCACACGCATGGCAAAAACACGATTCAGCACCTGTCCCCGGGATAACCACCGAATATTAGAATGGAGCAGAAGTACCTCAAATTCAGAGCCCATTTCTTTACACAGCTCACTGAAGATGCGGTGCCTCAGAGCACTTTTTCGCACATAGTTCACACATTCCACCACAGTTTTTAATATTTCTGCCATTTTTGGAGGTAAGGTTTTTGTTGCCAACGCATGCCTGTGCAGAATACAATGCGTCACAATGATGTGTGGTGCATCGGCCTTTACTAGCGCACCAAAACCAGACTTTCTTCCCAGCATGACTGGAGCTCCGTCCGTACAAACTGCAGAAACCATATCCCATGAAAGATTGTTGTCTCTGAAGAAGTCATCCACAAGCTTCTTCACATCGGCTGCCTTCGTTGTTGTTGTAAGAGGCTTACAAAATAAAAACTCTTCTTTTATCATGTCGTCTTTCACATAGCGTACAAAAACAGCAAGCTGGCTTAGATCAGAAACGTCTGTGGTTTCGTCGAGTTGAAGGCTGAATTTTGCCGGGCTTGAAATCAGATCCGCGACTACTTGAGCCAAGATGTCTTTACTCATGTCTTCTATTCTGTCACTGACGGTGTCATTTGAAAGGGGAATTTGGGATAATTTACCTTCGGCCGCTGTTCCGAGTATCAGATTCGCCATCTTTAATGCAGCTGGTTTCACAAGTGTTTCACCAATGGTGTGTGGCTTGCCCTGCTTTGCGATCAGGTAAGCAACTTCGTACGATGCTGTCAGGATCGATTTGTTAACAGGTACAAATCCAAGAGCAGGCAGAGTGGCCCTTTCATCGAATCTGGCTCTCTTCACCCTGAATTCAGCAAGTGTTGTGTTCTTGTATTCCCCGTCTCCATGCAGCTTCAAGAAGTGTTCCTTTAGTTTTGCCGGTGCAAGACTAGAGTTGCTCAACTTGGCGTTGCAAATCATGCAGATAGGACGCTCACTCCCATCACGTTCCGTGATACATGAGAATCTATGTTGTACATATTCGTCCGACCACTTTCTTCTTTTGCCCGACATAGTTAGTATGGATAAAATATTAAAGAAATCACACGACGTACGACAACAACAGTCACACGTTGACTACTGAGTACGCACTAAATTCCCCGCAGCGCTGATTGGCCAAGCAGTGTAGCATGATCATCTGCAGCCAGTGATGGCCAAGCGGGCCGTGTGTGTCATCACAAATTTACACAATAATTCAAGTGTGTCCGGAACTCCGTGGCGGGGGCTCTGCCGAACCCCTGAGATCGACTCACCGAACCCCTGGGGTTCGATCGAACCCAGGTTAAGAACCACTGGTCTAGACAAACAGTTCGAGAAGGCGATGCGCATCGTAACCGGAACTAACTATGCAACCGACATCAATCTCCAACGACAACCACCTACCCACCATCAATCTCCAATGACAACCACCTACCCACCATGAACCAGCGACAACCACCTACCCACCATGAACCAGCGACAACCACCTACCCACCATGAACCAGCGACAACCACCTACCCACCATGAACCAGCGACAACCACCTACCCACCATCAATCTCCAACGACAACCACCTACCCACCATGAACCAGCGACAACCACCTACCCACCATCATGAACCAACGACAACCACCTACCCACCATGAACCAGCAACAACCACCTACCCATCATGAACCAGCGACAACTACCTACCCACCATCAATCTCCAACGACAACCACCTACCCACCATGAACCAGCGACAACCACCTACCCACCATGAACCAGCGACAACCACCTACCCACCATGAACCAACGACAACCACCTACCCACCATGAACCAGCGACAACCACCTACCCACCATCAATCTCCAACGACAACCACCTACCCACCATGAACCAGCGACAACCACCTACCCACCATCAACCAACGACAACCACCTACCCACCATGAACCAGCGACAACCACCTACCCACCATCAACCAACGACAACCACCTACCCACCATGAACCAGCGACAACCACCTACCCACCATGAACCAGCGACAACCACCTACCCACCATGAACCAGCGACAACCACCTACCCACCATCAATCTCCAACGACAACCACCTACCCACCATGAACCAGCGACAACCACCTACCAACCATCAATCTACGACAACCACCTACCCACCATCAATCTACAACGACAACCACCTACCCACCATGAACCAACAACAACCACCTACCCACCATGAACCATCGACAACCACCTACCAACCATGAACCAGCGACAACCACCTACCCACCATGAACCAACGACAACCACCTACCCACCATGAACCAGCGACAACCACCTACCCACCATCGATCTCCAACGACAACCACCTACCCACCATGAACCAGCGACAACCACCTACCCACCATGAACCAGCGACAACCACCTACCCACCATCAATCTCCAACGACAACCACCTACCCACCATGAACCAGCGACAACCACCTACCAACCATCAATCTACAACGACAACCACCTACCCACCATGAACCAGCGACAACCACCTACCCACCATCAATCTCCAACGACAACCACCTACCCACCATGAACCAGCGACAACCACCTACCCACCATGAACCAGCGACAACCACCTACCCACCATGAACCAGCGACAACCACCTACCCACCATGAACCAACGACAACCACCTACCCACCATGAACCAGCGACAACCACCTACCCACCATCAATCTCCAACGACAACCACCTACCCACCATGAACCAGCGACAACCACCTACCCACCATCAACCAACGACAACCACCTACCCACCATGAACCAGCGACAACCACCTACCCACCATGAACCAGCGACAACCACCTACCCACCATGAACCAGCGACAACCACCTACCCACCATCAATCTCCAACGACAACCACCTACCCACCATGAACCAGCGACAACCACCTACCAACCATCAATCTACGACAACCACCTACCCACCATGAACCAGCGACAACCACCTACCCACCATGAACCAACAACAACCACCTACCCACCATGAACCATCGACAACCACCTACCCACCATGAACCAACGACAACCACCTACCCACCATCAATCTCCAACGACAACCACCTACCCACCATCAATCTACAACGACAACCACCTACCCACCATGAACCAACAACAACCACCTACCCACCATGAACCATCGACAACCACCTACCCACCATGAACCAGCGACAACCACCTACCCACCATGAACCAACGACAACCACCTACCCACCATGAACCAGCGACAACCACCTACCCACCATCGATCTCCAACGACAACCACCTACCCACCATGAACCAGCGACAACCACCTACCCACCATCAATCTCCAACGACAACCACCTACCCACCATGAACCAGCGACAACCACCTACCAACCATCAATCTACAACGACAACCACCTACCCACCATGAACCAACGACAACCACCTATCCACCATCAATCTCCAACGACAACCACCTACCCACCATGAACCAGCGACAACCACCTACCAACCATCAATCTACAACGACAACCACCTACCCACCATGAACCAGCGACAACCACCTACCCACCATCAATCTCCAACGACAACCACCTACCCACCATGAACCAGCGACAACCACCTACCCACCATGAACCAGCGACAACCACCTACCCACCATGAACCAGCGACAACCACCTACCCACCATGAACCCAAACCTAAACAATGTCACCTCGCCACCGAATCCCCTTCTCGGATCGCGCCGCTGCCGCCCTCGAATCTCACCCCGATCCGGAAGAATTCTCACGCTGGCGAGCAAAGTGCAACAACGTGGACGTCCAGAATGAACTCTGCATTCGAGACCCAAACATCGCACCTCCTGGCTTTGACATTCCTCCTCGAGCACACCGGTCTTGAGAACATCAACAGGCCCATGCGCACATTTCTCTTTCATGAATGGAACATTTCAGATAAGTGACAGCGGCGCGATTGTGGCCATGCAACCCAAACTATGGAGCACAAAGTAAACACAGGA